GGGTGATCTGTTTGGTATTTTGAGCAAAACACTTCATAGACATTTTTTTTATATGTTTTTATATATCTGAGACCTATGCTATTGCCTAAAAATAGGTGCACTTTAAGTCAACCCGGTATCACGGCAAGACGTGAACATGTGACGATCTACCATGCTGGGAGACGTGAATATGTCACGGTTTCGTCCCTTCAAACGTGACAGTTACACGGTATTGTTAACATGGCCCAACCAGTGGAGAAATACCCGGAAGTGCCTAGCAAATGGTCTACCGCAAAATGAGATGTTTTTAATTTATTTTTTAATCATCACACTTGATTTCGCCGATTTTCTTGTTGCCCTAGCTGGTCGACACCTCTTTTAGCAGAAACAAAGGCTACATTAATGTATTAAATCGATGTTAATCCATGTGTGTGGAGGTGAGGATGTGGAATTAACGGACGTGACGTTGTGTGATTGCGTTGCCAGGCAACACAATTTACAAACTCTTCAACTACAACCCTAATTATATTTTAAAACATTTTAGAAGGCCTCACAAAATACTTTAATGTAAATTCAAATGTAAATGTGAAGGGGTGTGTGTAATGTGGTGATTGACATTATTCACCCACGGATCTATGGGTTGGGGGTATTGTTCCGCACGGACATTTTAGTTAAACGGACTTACTGTTGATGTGAAATCCGAAAAAAAACGGTAACCATAACCATAACGGTGCACAGCTGATATAAAAGGACTTGTCGTTTCTAAAGATATTACTGATTTTCTTTGAATATAAGAATGTAAATACTGAGTTGAGAGAATAGTCAGGGGATTTGGGTGATGGGAGACACATCTATGGATTCAGAATTTCAATAGCTTACTGTTAAATGATGGATATACCTTTCTGTCTGTGATGTTTTACAAATCAGATATTATAAGTAAAACATGTGAAATAATATAGCAATATCCTGTACAATTATGTGAAAACATGAATAAAACTACACATCTTCAGATGTTATACATACACAAGTGTCCTACACTAATAATACAAAGTTATTATGGCTGTGTGTACCTTGTGTGCACCGCCTAGTGGTTAAAGCACGTTATTGAATTAGTTGTGTATATGATATGTCAATGATCCTTAGAAAATCTTGAAATCTTGAAAGGGATATGCAAAATAGCCATTATATATAGTCTTTAATTAACTATTAGTAGAGAATAACGAGTAATGAATATACTTTATAGGGATCTGCAGATAAATGTTTAGTCTTCTCAAGCAGCAACTATCAAATATCTCTCCTGATTGTTGACACTTGACAATCACCTTTCCCTGAATTTTACTCAGGTGTAACTAAAGCCTGATTTAAGGGTTGTTTATATTTCACATCATTAATCAGAATCTGCAAAGTAACTAAAATAAATGTAGTGGAGTAAAAATACCAGGTTAACCTCTGAATTGTAGTGGAGTAGAATTGCTGTTTTGTTTAGTAATGGATATTGAATATGGAATAAAGGTTTTGACAAGACCTGGTGTAACAATAATCAAAAAGGACATTAAAAGAGCTCCAGATGTCAATGATCTAAACAAAACAGCACACCTGAAATGTATTAAATACTTTATTAAGGGCAGTGAATTACTTTTTTCTGTATGTTTTTCAAATCAGTGTTATACAGTAAGTGTCATAGACAGTGTTACATTGCTATTATTATCCTTAAAATATATATAAAACAAAACCATTTATGATCTTTTTTTTGGGGTGGTTTACTAATGACAGTTAATTCTGTTTCTGCTATTGTGTATTCTGCTACTGTTTCATTTTTGTGAAAAATAATAAAATAATAAAATTCAATAACGTGCTTTAACCACTAGATGTGCCTTTCTATCAGCTGTGCACCGTTATGGTGTAAATACAGCCTATCTACCAATTGGATCAAATTTAAAAGTCAGCCGAATTAGTATTGATACTGCAAGGAGATGTATTGTGTGAAAAATAAATGTAAGATGTGGTTTAATTGCTGATATATTTATGATCCACGTCACGTTTTCAGTTTTGGCGGCAGTTCTTCCTGTTTGTCCAGAAGTCTTCTCATCAGGGCTCTATAAATACAGAACTACGGCAGATATGTCATATTTAATGCAGCCAAACCGTGTATTACAATGCCGTTATGTGATGCCCTCCAAAGAGAAAAGCAAGCAAACTCGGAATGAAGTATTATTTTTATTTTTTTTAAATGTTTTCGGATTTCACATCAACAGGAGTCCGGTTAACTAAGATGTCCGTGCTGCAGAACAATACCCCCAACCCATAGATCCGTGGGTGAATAATGTCAATCACCACATTACACACACCCCTTCACATTTACATTTTAATTTACATTAAAGTATTTCGTGAGGCCTTCTAAAATGTTTTAAAATATAATTAGGGTTGTAGTTGAAGAGTTTGTAAATTGCGTTGCCTGGCAACGCAATCACACAACGTCACGTCCGTTAATTCCACATCCTCACCTCCACACACATGGATTAACATCGATTTAATACATTAATGTAGCCTTTGTTTCTGCTAAAAGAGGTGTCGACCAGCTAGGGCAACAAGAAAATCGGCTAAATCAAGTGTGATGATTAAAAAATAAATTAAAAACATCTCATTTTGACAATAAAAACCGACCAATAGGCGCGGTAGACCATTTGCTAGGCACTTCCGGGTATTTCTCCACTGGTTGGGCCATGTTAACAATACCGTGTAACTGTCACGTTTGAAGGGACGAAACCGTGACATATTCACGTCTCCCAGCTTGGTAGATCGTCACATGTTCACGTCTTGCCGTGATACCGGGTTGCTTTAAGTAGTGTGTACCTGTCCGGCTGTGTTGTACAGGGACTCCTGCGCCTCGCTGAGCTCAGAGCTGATAAACTCCTCCTCAGTCAGCTTCTCTTGGGTCTGCAGAAGATCTTTACTCGTCTCCTCCAGCCTGAAAACAACAACAATTATCATGTTAAAAATAAAGAAAATATCTACTGCGCAATCATTCATAATCTAGCAGGATCAGTCACCTCTGCTGCTTCTCATCCAGGTCGACGCTGCACTGCTTTATACCCCAAATCAGCACTTTTGAAACAGGAAGATAAATAGAGGGATATGAGGCATGGCTAGAATGGGTGATCTGTTTGGTATTTTGAGCAAAACACTTCATAGACATGTTTTTTAAATATTTGTATATATCTGAGACCTATGCTATTGCCAAAAAATAGCATGATAGGTGCACTTTCAATTAAATAAGAATTTAAGAAACTAAATAATAAAAAAAATACTTTTTTCAAAATTTGACATTTGTTTTGTTGTACAACAAAATGATAAAACAAACTTGAAAATTATTTTTGGAAGAATTTTACAATTAAAAAAATTAAAAATAGTAAAGAAATGTTTCACTAAAACAAAAAAATAAATGGATAACAATCTAAAATAATGTAGGTTTTAAAAAAGGATGCTTTAAACTTTATTTAAGAAAATATTTAATATATTGGTTTTATCATTTTTCTGTGTTTCACATAGAAGTCTATAGCTCAGTGGTAAGAGCTGACAGCCGCCAACCAGTGTTGCTGTGGGGATGACAACCAGTGTTGCTGTGGGGATAACCAGTGTTGCTGTGGGGATGACAACCAGTGTTGCTGTGGGGATGACAACCAGTGTTGCTGTGGGGATGACAACCAGTGTTGCTATGGGGATGTTGGTTCGAATCCTGAGCATGGTAGATAGTTTCACACTGTATCTCCACCAACATCTGGCCAAACCCATATGGTTATCTATAAAATTCATTAAAAATATATAAAATACAACTATAATAAAAATAAATATATATACAGACGCCCCCAACACCTCTGGGGGACGTGAAAAAAAAACATGGGTAAACTATTAAAGTGGACCTATCATGCTATATTTGAATAATATAGTGTAGGACCATACCTATATAAGGCATATTTATACTTTTTTTTTTTCAAAATACCAAACAGATCATGCATTTTAACCATGCCTCATTTCGCTCAATTTGCACTTTTTTATCCCTGTTTTTACAAGGGCTGATTCTGTGAGAACAGCACCGCCTACAGGCCTGGCATATGTACTACAGCGTCTCCAGCGCTTTCGAACGGCAATGGCCGTGGCTGTCTCCTCCTGACTGATCAGTTTTTATCAGATCCGTTGCAGCCCCTTTTTTAGAGATTTGGGGTAGGAGGAAAATAGAGAGGGTTGTGTTTTCTGACACTTGTTGAGTTCCCTGGAACACCGGGGACACATATTCATGTATAAAGACGTACAAAAAAAGTGCATTTTGCATGATAGGTCCCCTTTAAATAAAAATAATAAAATAAAATAAAAATAATAAAAGAATACTAATAATAAATACAATTTAAATTATAAATATATATAAAATAATAATGAATACAATAATAATAAATAAAATAATAATAATCATAATAAATAAATGACAATAAATAAATGACAAGTAAAATACAATTAATTAAATTAAAAAAATGATATCAATACATAAACAATGAATAATTAAATAATAATTCATATTGATAACATATTTAAATAAATAATAACAAAAACAATAACAATAAAATAATACATAAACTTATAATAAAAAAGTAAATAATACATTGCAATAAATACATAAAAAATGTTTAAACCAATTTTTAAACCAGTGTTCTTGTTTATTATATTTCTTTATGCACGCTATTTTTCAGAACATTTATAAGTTATACTTTTAATCAGTTGTGGGGACAGAATTGGCCATTTCAAAAAGTGGTAATGGCGCCTATGGTTATAATTAAAAACAGTTTCTAGTAAAATGTCGCCACACAGTGGAAACAGTCTGTTATTCATTCTACACTGTAACTTCCCATGATGCTCCGCGCCAAAGCGGTCACGTGATTCCTTGCGACCAATGGTATCGTATTTTTGGCCTTTACTATCCTCTTATTGGTTCAGCAACATTTTAAAAGTACTGTTTGAAATAATTTTCTTGTCGGAGGTTACAGAGCGCCAGAGAGGGCAGAGAAAGAGTTGTCAGAGAAGAAGACGTTGGATTTATAATAAACACAAATCATATTTCCTGGGGATAAAGCGGATTATTCATAAAAGGAGAGGAAGATAAGCCGGTGAGTTGCTATGGAGTAACGGCAATTTGAATTGAGCTACCTAGCATGCTATTTTCCACTTAGCTAACCGCTTCTGACTTTAAATAGTAACAGCTATCATGTTTTTAAAGGTTTAATATCGTGTCTCTATTGTTTCATTGTTTGTATGTTCATCTAAGGTGTGTAACCGTTACTTTCAAACCTATTTTTAGAGAAAAGAGTGCAACCATGGCTTCACACAACGTGAGCGGATTGAAACGGGATGAGAAGGGGAGAAACATCCAGGTCGTAGTCAGATGCAGGTATGGACAGAAAACCAGGGGTGAATGAAGTGTTTAGACCGTTTTTAATCAAGCTAAAAATAAGCAGTATTATGGTGTAAAATAAAAACAAAGTGCATGTTCCTAGCTCAACTTCCTCTTTATGTGACACTGTGATACAAGAGATAAATGTGCTTTGTTCATACCAAATTAAGCAGACATAAATGACAAATCATTACGGCACTGCCCATAGATTAATTTAGATAAACTGCAAATATATACAGATCAAAAGTAGAAAGATGTGTCCTTTTTAAAAGATGTATAGAACATTATTATATACATTGAAGTTTGCACTTGTTTTTTCAATTGAAACTCAAATGATATGGACAGACAAAACAATCTTTTTCCTATGTATTGTCAAATTGGAGAGTTGAAATACCTTTTTCTCAAAGCTTTTTAATCTTAGACCGTCATCTTTAAATGCTTGGATTACATAACATTGCATTTAGCTGACGCTTTTGTCCAAAGCGACTCACAATAAGTGCAATACACCAAAAACATTCAAACTAGGAACAACAAGAAAAGTGCTGACATATTTACTTCAAACTGGTGAATATGTTTTTTGTTGTCTTCCATCCATCAAATGTGAACGGTGTGGAGTAAAATTACCTTGCAGCATCTCAAATCAAATGTTCAACCATTTTTAGCAGGTTTAAAAAGAAAGGTATTCATAACATTTTGCATTTTAAAGTACATATTATTGTATGTATTTAGCTGTGTGTTGATAACTTCACCTGCATACAATCCACCTGATAATGTCCCTAAACCCACATTAGATTTATCGTTGAGATGTTGTTCAGAGAAGTCACTTTGTGTTATTTGTTCAGACCCTTTAACACAGTGGAGCGAAAGTCCTCCTACGGGGTGATGGACTGCGACTCCAACAGGAAGGAAGTGGTCGTGAAGACAGGAGGGATGAACGACAAGGCGGCACGAAAAACCTACACTTTTGACATGGTGAGTGGACGCATGCAGTCTTTACACACTTCAGTATGTAAGGGTGGCACCGGTCAGTATAGGTGCTGATCAGAGCATATTTTACAAGATCTGTATCAGCAGTAATACATCTGATAAACAGTTAATATCTTTCTTCACGGGACTCTACTGTGTTGTGTTGAGCTCGCTCTAAATGAAATTGAAACATAGAATTGGAGGATGAAAGGATGAAACATGGTGCTGCTCTAGTTAAAATGCAAGCAGATCAAATGTCCAACCTTCTGTATTCTTAAAGTGTGTAATCTCTCATTCATCACATCACATGACCTCGTTCCCCCAGTTAATCTATCATTCATGTAATATCTCTATGATAATTCACTTTATTTGTTTTTACATATGAAGCTTATAATGAGCGTTTGAAATGAAGCTTTTTCTCTATGTTGTCGTATTTTATGACGTCACCCAAAACACAATAAACAAAATCCTCAATTTAAATTAAAGGTCCCATGTCATGGCCATTTCTACTGATCATAATTCCATTGTTGAGGTATACTAGAATAGATTTATATTGTACAATTTTCCAAACTCACATTGGTTTCTCATACAGCATCTCTGTATAGTATGTGTATTCACTCTCTGTCCTAAACGGCTTGTTGGAGCTCCTGCCCCCCCTCCCTGTGAGCCCAGTGTGCTCTGATTGGTCAGAGCACTCTGTTCTGACGAGTCCACCACCGTTACAGCGGGACATCAGTGATTATGTGTTACAAGGGCGTTAGCAACCAGAAAATGACACCAGTAAGGACAAACAGATGAGAATGCTGCGTGGGGTCTGGGTGCTGTGTTGGCGGGACGTTGCGCGGCTCGCTGCTGCGAGGAGCGGACAGTGTGAGCTGGGTTAATTTCCTGCTTGCTGCGTGGGGTCTGCATGACAGCGAGACATCGCGAATGGACGTGGGAAGGGGGTGGTGCTGAGGGGGCTGCAGCACCCCCATCTGCGAGGCTCCACTAGCACCCCGCACCTACAGTGTAAGCGTGCCACAGTTTCGCCACTGCGAGGCTCCACTAGCACCCCCCCCCCCCAGCGCGTCACAGTTTCGCCGCTGAGAGGGAGTGTGTGTGAGGAGCTCCACGGATTGGTCCATTTGGGCATGGTCACTGTACCCAGGAAGAAAAAGAAATCTCCAACGAGGCGTTCTGGGGCAGCATAGACAGGTCTTTTCTGTGTTAGAGTTTTACTCGCTACAGGGTGTACTTTGAGGGTTTGTGACTCTGCAGACCGTTCACATGCAGAAAGACCTTCATAACACACAAGGGGACGGGTCATAACCAGAAAAGCATGACATGGGACCTTTAAGATTAAATTAGATAGCCTTTTTCTTAACAAGCCAACTTTCTTAAATATATTAAATATTACTCGGCACTGCGTTCCGCCATCCATGTTATTTGCCGACACATGTTTAATCAACATTCATGTACATTAAAAACAGACATCCCCATCGCCCGTCTGTCGCTCCAGATGATGAACGTAATGGAGATTTTATTTGAGATGTTTACTGGAGCTTAATTTCCCCTTTTATCTGTTAATAAAATATATATGTAATTACCTTTCTCTTCAGGTATTTGGTCCAGCAGCAAAGCAGATTGACGTCTACAGGAGCGTCGTTTTCCCCATTCTGGATGAAGTCATTATGGGATACAACTGCACTGTTTTTGCGTGAGTAGCTTTTATTTTAAAATCTATAAAAGTTTTCATTTCTGTTTTTATGTGTTCAATTGCATTATTGTTATAGAAAATAAATGAACGCGTGTGTTTGTGCTGTGTTGTTCAGTTACGGGCAGACAGGTACAGGAAAGACGTTCACTATGGAGGGAGAGAGGACTCCAGACGAGCAGTTCACCTGGGAGGAGGTGAGGCAGGAGCACATACAACGTGTTTATCTTTGTGTTTACATAATCAAATCGACACCTTCTGTATGGAGTGGTGCAGGAATGAGTCAGCAGTTTAGCACTTCCTCTTTCCTCGCCTGGAGGTCATGTGTTTGTGGTTAGAAGTCTGAAATAAGGTCTATGGTTACCACAAGCTGAAGATGTTATTTTACGTCATAAAATACGTCAGTAAATACCGCACTGGTGAATTTAAACACAGCGGTTTCCAACAAGTGTCTATAGGAGACCCCTAAACGTCATCACTCCAAACATTAGCCAACTTTAGCTTATGTAGATCCGTCATAGGGATGCCAGAAACTGACCATGATCAAATTCGAAAATCGGACAGCCCTGGCGAATATTAATCGATTATTCGCCGCCGCCACAATCACCACATTCAAGTCCCTCCTCAAAACCCACCTGTTCAGATCAGCCTACTCACTGTAGTGCCACCTGTCCCCTGTTTCCCTACATGTTCCCTGTTACGGTTCTTTTGTACTTTCTTAAACCTTTCCTTAGAATATTTTATGAATTGTAAGGTGTCCTTGGGGGCTTTGGAAGGCGCCTCTAAATAGAATGAATTATTATTATATAAGGTCGGTTTACAGAGACACTGTTCATCATCCCTGCATGCCACTTTTATTAACTGATAAAACCATTGTTTCTGATTTTAGGACCCTCTGGCCGGTGTCATCCCCAGAACGCTGCACCAGATCTTCGAGAAGCTTTCGGAGAACGGCACAGAGTTCTCCGTCAAAGTGTCTCTGCTGGAGATCTACAACGAGGAGCTGTTCGACCTGCTGAGCACCGGGGACGACGTCACCGAGCGGCTGCAGCTCTTCGACGACCCGCGGAACAAGGTAACATATTAAATATAGAAACTGAAACAATTTTGACTAATCCATTAATAGACTTGTTTCTCTAAGCCTCTGCCTTATTAGTATGTATGAGAAGAAGATGTCTTTCTTTCCTTAAATGCATTTTTAAGCGTGGGAACCTTTTTTTAACGATCTGCTATTGGTATAGCCTATCTGCAGCATGTGTGTGTATGTATACAGTAGATTTGTACGAGTATTTGCTGTATGTATGTATTGTATGCATATATATTCATCTAACAATGTTCCTGATAAATAATCGTGTGTATGAGGCTCACTGGCAGTGAATGTAGGGGATTACATTAGTCGTTGTTATTGTTTGTTTGTGTTCTGTCTAGGGCTGCACGATATTGGAAAAAACTGACATTGCGATATTTTCTTCCCCTGCGATATGAAAAAATACAGGAATTGAAGAAAAGGCAGTTTTGTTTTTGTCCGCAAACCATCCTTTCTTGAACTTTAATGCTATACAATTGGTATTTTTCTAACTATATTTAACCGTTTAACCGAGATTTGATTGTGATTGGTGGTTTGCTGTGCATGCAGAGCCTAGGGCTGCTCAATTAATCGCAATTTACGATTTTGGCTTGCAACGATTATGAAAACAGCATCTAAATAAAACGATATTTTTTTTTAAAACATTTTTTTATTGGTTTTTCAGTTGAATTGTAATTAAAGTTCAGGGTAATCAACATTTTTTTTTTCAATAAATGGATGTTTTCAAAGTAAATGGAATCGTTTTTAATAATTGTGATATCAATTATTGACCAAAAAGAATCGAGATTATGATTTTTGCCATAATCGAGCAGCCCTAGCAGAGCCTGCATGTCACTCACCCAAGTACCCCTGACATGAGAGCCGCGCAAGTTTTCCTTTTGTAGCAAGCGGCAAAATAATTGTAACATGACGCGTTTGAGTTAATTGGCCTACTTAATATCGCAAATTTAAAAAAAATCGCACGTCCTGCGATGTGACTATGCACATATCGCGATTATCGTCACGTCACGATATATCGTGCAGCCCTCGTTCTGTCATTCTTTTTTTCTCTTTGTACATACAATCAGTACAGACCACGGTCTCATTTGTTTGCCTATATTTTGCTTTCCATCTCTAAATGACAAACACTGTTTATGCATTGTCGAAAACGCAATAAAAATACTTTTTTTCCTTATATCCTCTTATTTTGCTGTTCCTTCAAAGAACTGTTTACGATTGCTCATAGAGATCAATTAAAATACACATGTTTCCTGCTCATTCAATCTTCTGTGACCTCTCGTGTGCGTTTCAGCGCGGCGTGGTGGTGAAGGGTCTGGAGGAGGTGACGGTTCACAACAAAGACGAAGTGTATCAGATCCTGGAGAGAGGGTCAGCCAAGAGGAGGACGGCCTCCACGCTCATGAACGCTTACTCCAGGTAATAACAGAGAGAAGACTGTACCACACACCTTCAGACATTTCTGTATAAACGTATATACCCAATATTTAGTGCCTTGGGAGATTTATATTTACTTTCCCCCCCCTTGTGTCTCTGCTCAGTCGCTCCCACTCGGTGTTCTCGGTCACCATTCACATGAAGGAGATCACTCTGGATGGAGAGGAGCTGGTGAAGATCGGAAAACTCAATCTGGTAAATATCCTTCGTCTTGAAATAGTGTAAAGTCATGTATCCTCTTGTGAGATTTCTAAAGGATAAACACCAGTCTTTGAAGTAGGGCTGTCCCGAATACCATTTTTCGGGCTCCGGATATTCGGTAGTAATCAGCAGCGGATATTCAGCAAACCGCTTCAACACGTGTATTTCGGTTTATTCACGGCATTCATTTTGTTATTCTACAGTATTGTTGTTTTATAGTTATTTGTTAATGTAACCCAATTTGTGTTCTTTGAAATTGAAAAGGATATCGCATTGTGTTTGTTACTTTCGTTGCAGTTGTATTACGTCTTAAGTGTAATTTGGCTTGGCTTCCTATTTTGTATGGACATGCTTTTATTTTTGAAGGAGAGTTAGCGCTGTTGACAGGAAGTTGTTGTTGCTATGGAAACAACGTGACGGAGATTAACGGAGAAAAAGTCATATCTACATATAAAGACGGAGAAAGTAAACGATAACGTTTATGGTTAAGTGTTAGCACCCCCCGCTCTTACGTTGATATTGGAGATTTAAATAAATTCAATGCGGCTGCCAAAAAAAACGAATAACGAAATACCAGAATAGTACTCCAACGAACGAATATTCGGATATTCGGGTACAGCCCTACTTTGAAGGTTATTTGTCGGGTACATTTGTCTTTTTCTTGATAGAGGTTAGTGTGGAAAATGGCAAGGGGAGAAGAAATGAATAAAAGTGACCAAAGGCATGATACATGTATAAAGGGGAAGATGATGGATAAAATATAACATTGTATAGCAAAACAAAAGGGACATTTACTTGGAAGGTAAATGCATAAGTGAATAAATAAATCAAATCAAGTTTTATTTATATAGCACATTTTTAAAAAGATTTTTGGTCGAGCCAAAGTGCTGTACATACAGTAAAAATACTTTACAATAAAGACACTTTACAACAAAAACAGCACAGTTTGTACAGAATATCAGTATGAGAAAACGACACCCTCTGTCCTTAGACCCTCACATCGTACAAGGAAACACTTCCAGGGAAAAACCCCACAGTTTAAAGGGGAACATGGGAGTAATAAAAGGTTATTACGTTAAGAGGTTCTCTTAAATGTAATGGATAGAAATGTTGGTTTGTCACATTTCATTGGTTATTGTTTGCATTAAGTTCTTGGAAAAAGGATTGAATATATCAAAAATATTACAAGTATTTTTTGATTTTTTGGCAGTTTATGACCCATTATAATTCAGCAGATTTAATGCTATGAGTAATTCGTTTACAGGGTGTCCGCGGGGTCTTAAAAAGTATTAAAAGTTGATAAATCAATTTCTCATACAGCAAAGATTAGACTATTAAAGGGCATTTTCCAAGGTATTACATTGTGTAGCTTGTTTTCAATAAGTATATAAATTGTCCAAAGAGGTTGTATTCTACAGTCTGCCTGAATGTAATCATTGCGTAGGTGTGTAGTGTGATTCTGTGTAGTTTATTTATGGCATCCCGTTGGATTTGACGTCATCTGAACAGGACATCGCACGCTCACTGCTTGATAGCGCGTGAAGGTCCATTTACGCCGGTTGTTAAACAACATGGTTATGGGGAAATGCAAATTTGCGTCCAAATGGTTGGAAGATCAGGAGGAAGTACAATCAATACTGTATATGTAGTAAATGTGAGGTAAAGTGTGTCGTCAATGTAACCGGTTAAAACTCAAAGTGGCGATGAGGTCTTAAAATGTATGGAAAGGGTCTTAAAAAAGGGTTTTTAAAAGGTATTACATTTGACTTCAGGATTCCTGCATATAGCCATTACATTTATATGACTTCCCCTTTTTTAAATGTCACTAAAGTTATTCGTCTCTATTCCCCTCCCCCTCCAGGTGGATCTCGCCGGCAGTGAGAACATCGGGCGTTCAGGAGCAGTGGATAAACGAGCTCGAGAGGCGGGGAACATTAACCAATCTCTGCTGACGCTCGGCCGCGTAATCACGGCGCTGGTCGAGAAACGCCCCCACATCCCCTACAGGTAGAGACACTCGGCCAATCAGGGAGATGGATGTAAAGGATATCGTTTTTTTGCAAATGAACCCGCCTCATGACCTTTCTCCATGAATTAACTTTTTAAATTTATTCTACTATTTCAACAATTAGACAGTTTATACATCCGCAAAACAAACAAAAGTAGTAGAGGGCAGAAAGCATATCTTATACAGAGGTATCCCTCCCGTTAGTCATCCAGTTGCAGGATAAAGAACAAAAAGATCATTCTGTAATTAAATACTCACACAGATAAACACAATTCTATATAGACATACACCCAGTGGCGTTTTTATATGTACAAAAGTGGTGGGGCACGAACAACTTAGATGTGTATATATATAAGCTTCTGGTGCTTTTTTAAACACGTAAACAAATAGCTGTAGGCTATCCATGGTTCCGATAGAGAGAGGGGGGGGAACCCGGACACTCATCACCGAGGTCACAATATCAATCGATCCAGCAGAGCAATAGCCTATAGGCAAAACACAGAAGATCAACAAAATATATGACATGAAATGAACTTCTCTCGTCTCCTCTTCACAACTACACTTTTCGCGGCACACGTACTTTACAGCCAATCAGCTCTTTGAATTATGAAATGACGTTTGGTAGGTATGTCAGCACAGTGCCCCCACTGGTGATTATTTTTTTGCCGCACACATTGAATAGAAAAATACTCTGAGCATGCGCAGTGTAGTTTTTACAGCAACCATTCACTTGGACCAGGGGTGCCCAACCTTTTTTGAACCGAGAGCTACTTTTAAAGTTGCCAGTCTGCCGAGATCTACCAGTCCAAATAGAGAAGCGTAGCCATTACTGACAGCCTACTACCAGGTAAATACACACTTCTACTTGTATAAAACTGACCTTTGTACGATTAATACTTCATAAAATATGGCAGATCCTTTTATCTTACCTCTTTCTACACACATACAAGTATTTAACTGAAGTTACACAACAGTGTTGTTGATACAGAGTTGGAGTTTATTCACACGTCACACAGTGGGTAATGTTTTCAAGAAACATTGAACAGTGCTGCCACATGACACAAGAAAAAAAGAAAGGACACTGAACCCTTTCTTTGCCATTATATAAAAATAGTGTTGCTACAAAAGTATAAATTAGGTTTACTAATAAGACAACTCAGATCTGAAGCTACATAGGAATCTGCTGCCAGAGTGCAGTAAAAAAGACAACATTAATAGAATCAAACCCTTTTTTTTTTGTGCATTTTAGTAGAGTATACAAATAAATGCCTTTTTTTAAATAGGATGCAAGCAACACTAGTTTCTTAACCTGAATTGATAATAGACTATAATCAATTTAAACAGAACAGATCTTAATGTTTGCATTCTTATACCATTTTGTACAATAATTATAATTAACAAGTTCAAACAAACTAAAACTTACAGCGCCCCGCCAAGACAATGGTAGGGGAGACACTGCATCTCGCGATCGACTGGGAACCGGTCGATCGCGATGAACTGGTTGGGCACCACTGACTTAGACAGTGAGAGAGAGGGGCTAGATCGGGGCTTGCCCCACATCGCTCAAAACGGCTCAATAGGCACACTGTAGACACTAATTAGAAGAACACAGACTAAAACAGCAATGTACAGACGAATCAGATGACTAAACATGATCTTAAAATATATTTCAACATATATTATTATTATTAATTATTATTTACATTACTTTCTGCTGACACTAGGTGGGGCTAATGACGAGTCGCCACTGCTTACACCTACATACATGCATACATACATACATACATGCATGCATACATGCATGCATACATACATGCATACATACATACATACATACATACATACATACATACATACATACATACACCTATTTCCAGGGTGACAATAAAATAATTAAGTAAAATTCATTTTCAAGTCCATGTTCAGATTACAAGACAAGTTTAATTTGTCCGGTGCCTTGCTCAAGGACACCACGGCAGGGCAGGAGGGGAACTGGGGGCTCTCCAAGTAGCAGTCCACACTCCATATTTTAGGTCTGGTCGGGGACTTGAACCGGCGACCCTACGGCTCACAGTGCAAGCCCCTACTGACTGAGCCACTGCCGGACAAAATAGTATTTATAGTTATTATCATTTTTGTGATTTAGCTGTAGTTGTAACTTAGATAAATGATCTCCTGTTCCCCCAGAGAGTCTAAGCTGACCCGCATCCTGCAGGATTCTCTGGGAGGACGAACAAAAACCTCCATCATCGCCACCGTGGCGCCGTCCTCCAGCAACCTGGAGGTACGTCCTGTCGTCTCTGTGCATCCCTGCTTTGAGATGGATAACGCCTGCTTTGAGATGTTTAGTTTTTATTCTGTGGATGTTCATTGTTCTTGTACTCTTGTTCTGTCCGTCTGTGCAGGAGACTCTGAGCACGCTGGAGTACGCCAGCAGAGCCAAAAACATCATGAACAAACCCGAGGTCAACCAGAAACTCACCAAGAGGACGCTCATCAAGGTAGATTTCATAATAATGGAAATTACAGCCGAGGATCTAAGAGTCTGTAAATTATTTAAATAAAATATATAGCAACAATCAAGAGTTTTGCAAATAAGTAAAATTATTTTAAAATCTATCCTAAAAGATACTTGGAGGCAGTGAAGGTCATATCAATGGATTATTATATGAAAACCGGTAAACAAAATACATTTTAAATCAATCAAATGATAAAGTTTTTAGGCATTTTGCTATGATAGAAATTATCTAATCGATTAAAATCGATGACCAAATTAGTTGCCAACTAATTCAGTGGTCGATTCGTTGGTGACGTCATCACGTGTGTTTTACGTGCCGTTAAGCTCCAACGTTATCTGTCTTTTTATCGGTACTGGAGACATTTAAAAAATATGTCATATGTATTATTGCTACATAAACATTATATTGCAGTCTTAGTGTCGCCAACTCGTTTCTAATATGCAAAAAGACAAATAAATGCGTCGATGATGTATTTTCGATCTTTCCAATCCAGACGAGAGATCTCTCTCCCCGTCTGTGTGCGAGGGGGCGGGGCGGTTACACACACGCTCTGCTACATGCATGCAACACACACACACACACACACACTCGCACACACATGGTGGAGATGACGGCGAGAACTAAGCGCTCCGAGGTGTGGTTAAACTTTACCCGTCTCGATGTGGACAATGCTCATTGCCAAAAGTGCAATAAGAGTTTAGCATGTCAGGGCGGTAACACGAGCAATTTGTCTAAACATTTATCAAAAGTGCACCACATCCACACGGAGCAATGCACCGGGTTCGACTGTCTTTCTAGTAGCTCTGAAGCCCCATCCACGAGTAACGTTTCCACGTCAGGTGTTATGTATGCTAGCAGCAACACACGGAGTTAACTCAATTATTCAAACATGGGTTAATGATTGAGTTATTTAGTTTGTTAAAGTTTCAGCTATTCTGTTTACAATTCTGTCATCACATTATTTAATACCATTTGTTAAAACACTGTTTTTTTTTTTTTATGTGAAATATTATTTATTTAATTTAAATAAAAAGCAATGTTAGTTTTGTTCACAATTTGTTTAGTTAATTTCATAATGTATGTATTTTTGAATCAAGTATTCATCTTTATTGTCTTCATCGTTAGTTTCCACATGCCTAAAACAACCTCAAGCTAAATCTAAAAGTTGATGGCTAAATAAGAGCGTTTGAGAAATTGTGCAAGGCATAATAGTCCGAATAGTCGATTCATCGATTATCAAATTAGTCGTTTGTTGCAGCCCTAATAGAAATGATCGTTTCTTATTGCAATATCTTTCAACTCTTCTCAGCCAATTTACTTTTTCCAGAAATATCTTGGATGTACATTTTAAACAGCTTTTTAAGGAATATACTGAGGTGTTTCTGTCCCTTCAGGAATACACGGAGGAGATTGAGCGTCTGAAGCGAGATCTGGCTGCGACTCGAGACAAGAACGGAGTCTATATGTCTTCAGAGAACTACGAGTAGGTCAACTTGACAAACACCAGTTTATTTGTTTGGCATTGTGCTTTAGATAATATGATATGATGATGTTAGCTGTATGTTAACTGTGTGTGTGTTTCAGGTCTATGATGACTCAGATCAACTCTCATGTGGAGCACTCGGTCGAGTACAGCGAACGGATTGCTGTCATGGAGGAGGAGATCAAGAAGGTACTTGAGACTGGGGTTAACAACATTTTAACAACAGTAAAAACGTTTAATGATGTCCGTTATGTATTAATTGTGTTCCTGTCTGCAGGTGAATGAGCTGTTTGTTGACAGTAAAACAAAGCTGGAGCAGTGCAGCGTCGACCTGGATGAGAAGCAGCAGAGGTGACTGATCCTGCTAGATTATGAATGATTGCGCAGTAGATATTTTCTTTATTTTTAACATGATAATTGTTGTTGTTTTCAGGCTGGAGGAGACGAGTAAAGATCTTCTGCAGACCCAAGAGAAGCTGACTGAGGAGGAGTTTATCAGCTCTGAGCTCAGCGAGGCGCAGGAGTCCCTGTACAACACAGCCGGACAGGTACACACTACTTAAAGTGCACCTATTTGTAGGCAATAGCATAGGTCTCAGATATATAAAAACATATAAAAAACATGTCTATGAAGTGTTTTGCTCAAAACACCAAACAGATCACCCATTCTAGCCATGCCTCATATCCCTCTATTTCACTTCCTGTTTCAAAAGTGCTGATTTTGGGTATAAAGCTTTACAAAATATGTATACAAAATAAAAAAGGAGGGGTCTGAGCTCATGCGGGACCCGGCAGCTACTGTCTAAACTAAATACTGCCGTGATGAAACGCCATATCATGGATCATCAAGGATTCTCTCTGAAACAGTATGGAGCTCAAAGGCTTTCTCTCTTGCCGGTTATACCACAAGGTGAGTTCCTTTTTATTTCCTGCTTCTTCACACACATGCTCTCCAGTACAGGTTAGCTCTGAGTGTTAGCGATGCTAATGTAAACACCGACCATATTACGTCCAAAACAGTCAGGCATTGTTTCTGAGAGCAACGTTTCTGATAGGGCCGTGGGTCCACATTTCAGATATTAAGTCATATCGGACGCAAATCTGGATCAGCTCCGTTGTAGCCCCGTTTTTAGAGATTTGGGTACGGAGGAAAAGAGAGAGGGTTTTATTTTCTGACGCTGCGTGAGTTCCCCGACACACCGGGGACACATTGATGTATAAAAGACATCAAAAAGTGCATTTTGCATGATAGGTCCCCTTTAAGGGAGTACTTACCCCAAATAAATTAAACAATTTGAGAAGATAGTTAATACAAGTTTGCAGTTGCTGAGAATTTAAAATGTTTTGTATCATCTTCCAGCTGCTGAGTACAGTGGACGCCAGCACCAGCGATGTTTCGGGTCTGCATGAAAAGCTGGACAGGAAGAAAAAGGTCAAATTTGTTCCTTCAATGTGTAGAGTCTATCTGATCAATGACTGAAAAGTTTGCTACTTTCAATCAGGAACTAACGCACGTGCTTTGTTCTGCAGGTGGAGCAACACAACAGTGAGATCCAGCAGAGCTTCTCTCAGCGCATGGAGGGGGCGTTCAGCAGCATGCAGCGCTGCGTTCAGGAGCACGGAGACAAACAGCAGCACATGCTGAGTGGCTACTCTCAGGCCATCGGTGAGAGCACAGAGCAGCAAGGGGGTCTAACAGAGAGACGGTCGTTGTGTGGAGTTATTCCCACATTTAAAATGACATTTAAATCCAAAAGTGTCCTTAGGAGCAGGTGCTCAAAATGTTTGAAGGCAATCCTGCATATTCAGAGTCCTACATGTATGTCTGCTTGTCAAGGACACTGTTAGTACATTTTATTTATCTTTTTAATTAAGTACAAATATATTTGTAGCCAGATGAGAAAGTTGAGGAAATCAACACATAGAAAAGACATTTGGTACATTGATAGGAACCAGTTACAAGTGTTCAACAGTTCAAAGCTACTAGTGTTCAGCTTAGTCTCTACTGTTGTACAGAGTTCCCGTTAGAATATTCTTTTGCCGGTCAACATGTCCGTTAAAGTTTAAATCTTCCGGACAAAATGAGAAAAGTGCCGGTCAAAGGTCTTCTTTGTTATTTATTGAGCTTTTAAACAAATTGATATGATTCGATATTAAACAAACTAATTATAGTAGATTAACTACATTATTCAAAAGTGTACAGTAACTTATAAAAACACGGGAATAATAAACGGAGCGCTCTCTCCCTCTCCTGACAGCCCGTCAGTATCATGCAGCTCGCGGATCAGTAATGAGTGACCCGACAGTAAAACTAAACATATCTATAACTAGTTTAGGTAGTTTGAGAGGTAATTAAAATAGCTACGTGTGATGTTCTAACCTGAAGTGTGTGTTCTGCTCACCGCTGCAGGTGATCATGCAGAGCTGCGTGTCGACTCGTCAGCAGCAGCTGATCTCTCTCCCGTCAGATTAGACTTCACTCGCGTTTATCTCCATATCGATCAGATCTAGCTAGTTCTAGCTAATGATATGACTACCTGCTTATTAAAAGACACCTAAACAATAAGCGTCGCTATGCAACCGGGTGAGGCCGCAAAGTATAGCGCATTATGCATTTGTTTACATGCCCACCGGAACTCCGAGGCATTACCAACAGATCAAAGCACAATCAACCCATACAGGACATCTCTTTCTCCACATTAAGTGTTAGACATTAGAATTGACTATTCTTGTCTGTCACATACTCTTTTGTCTGTCACATAAGTGGCGCAACTAATGCGGTATTGCGCTAAAGGGAAATGATTTTGACCGGAGAGATTTAGATTTGCCGGTGTTCAGCATATTTTACCGGTCAAAGTCCGGTAATTACCGGCTAACGGGAACTCTGATATTGTACATCAATTGACAATCCATACATAGTTGACCTTCACTTGAAGGCGTACAATACTTAAACCACAATTATAACCAAAACAGACTTAACGGGACAAAAGAAAAATAAATAAAGTTGAGGAAATCTAACAAAATACTAAAACTGACCAATAATACAGTCATGTGGTTTTAGTTATATTGACATGTTTCTGTCGGTCTTTCTGTCCAGACGGCGTGGTGGTGATGAACGAGGCGGCGCTAAAAGGCGCTCTGACCACCGTGGAGTCGTTCGTGGGGGGTGTCGGGCAGCTGGTGTCTGCGGGCGTGAGTCGCTGTCAGGACAAAGTGAAGCAGCAGGAGGCGCTGTGTCTGCAGGACAAGGAGAGCCTGCTGCAGCTGCTGGTGAGTTCAGGGCCATCTCCGCTGTTTGATACACAGAGGAGGGGTTTTAAGGATTATGCATGTGGCGTGAAGCTGCAGTTTAATTATGGGATTATACATTTCTGCAGGAATACGTAAAAAAATTGGGAATAAGGCCGCTTTTGTAGCACTTCCGGCTTCCTTGTCTCAAACAAGGTAGCGCTTAAAGATAAGGTTTGATTCTTTAGAGATTCGTCTGGGATAACGTTCTGTTTTTAGAAAAGGGGTTGCTTATGAGTGGCTGAATGAGTCTGCCTCTACAACCATTTTTAGTTTCTCTTATGTACATTGCCTTGTGTTTTTGATACTGCTGCAACCCAAACATTTCCCATCTATCTATAAATATTGTTAAATGAATTCAGATAAGGTAAATGTTCCTCAGACTTTTATTCTTATCGGTGTCGGTAATCATTTCGAGCTGGTAGGTGGACATATCAAATGTTTCTCTACTTCTCTGTGTGCAGGAGGAGCACCGGCAGGACATGGAGGAGGTGCTGGCGACTCGCACTCTGATGGGTCTGTCGGCTGTGAAGGAGCTCAGCGACACTCTGAGGGTTACCGTGGAGACGCAGCGAGATCTGGCCGACAAGGTGAGTCCAAATTTGTGTAAAATTTGGATGTGGTTCTGTCGGGCCTTTTTTAATGTCAAGATTCCTCAACTCTTCCACATCCAAACACACCGCTGTGCGCCACAAAAAGCTCTGATGAATGAATGTTGTTCTTTTACTTCTCGTCTTTGTTATCATCTTCTTACGCAAGCTTCCTTTCAATAGAGATACAAATTCATTTTTTTAAGCTTTAAGTATGGGCTCAGAACAGTCTCATAATACACACATGCACACAGAAGGATTCACACTTGTATTTCCGGATCCACACACAAATGTGTTCCGTTTCATATTCATGTAAATAAAATCCAAATACAGAAAAAAGTTTTACATATGTATTTTTGATCCTCACATATTTGTTTTCCGTTTAAAACCCCTCCTGTCATGGTCCTTGGAAGATGCGGCGGTGTTTTTATTTTTTTCGTCACAGGAACACGCTTTGCTGGCGGCGAAAATAATCCCACCAGACTCCTTTGCCCGGCATAAAACACGATTAAACGTGATAGTATATAAAACCATGCTCGTATCTACAACCTATAGAAATGCAAAACGGCGTCAGTTTAGACGTAATTCTGTCCTCCTGCTTTGCGCATCATTTATGAGAAAACATTTCATAACATTAACACAACATATTCGAGGTGGTTTTAAATAGCATATCCGTATTTATTTATTTCTCCAAGTTATGTTTTTGTGTGCACTGAGGAGTCTCAAACAGGCGTTTGTTTAATCATTTTAAGATTGGCTTTAATCAATGTTTGAAAAATGAATTCTTCATATTTGATAAATGAGAGGTAACATTTTATTTATTTCCACATATTTCTCTCCATTCTTCCTTCTGCCAACGGTGTCGCAGTTTCTCGTTTCCCGAGCCGAGGGCGTCCAAAAAAATAAAATAATTTGAGAGATCGAGGTTTTATCGCTTGAAATGACAAAAAAGAAAAAGAAAAAGGACATCCCTCTGTTGGAGGGGCAAAGGAGTCTGGTGGGATTATTTTCGCCGCCAGCAAAGCGTGTTCCTGTGACGGAAAAAATAAAAACACCGCCGCATCTTCCAAGGACCATGACAGGAGGGGTGTCCCTGTCGGCAGGGAGACGGTAAGAGATAATAGAAGGGACGACTCAATTCAAAATTCAAGTCACGTGACACGACGTGGCGTCAGCCCTGGTCTGGCGGAAACACTGCAGAGTACAGCAGGGTCGCACGACTTCAACGTCACGCCAACTTAAGATCCATATTCAAACATACAGATTCTAAATGGTACAAGTTGAAGCGTTTGTTTGAACAGTTTGCAGGAGGCAGGGACTTGCTTTCAAGCAGAACAGGGCAAACGGACTTAGAGGAGTGTTTACGTGTTCGGCGTAATGACGTACAACAGCCTCGACAACTTCTGTAGTCCTACTCAGCCACTTGTTAACAACCATCGTTTTTCAGACACGTCAACTCTTCAGAAATCACCAGTGGGGTCACTGCTGATGGATTTAATGTCGTAGAACAAAACGTGATCCGTCTATTCAATGTGTCAACCACAGACCTTATTTCCAGCTATTTTCCAAAAAGTAGTTCAAAATCCCATTGGCTCTGAGACGAGGGAACCGGAAGCATGGATGTATAATAAGAACTGGATACAGCGTGGGAGGCGGGGTCTCGTTCTTTCCTATGAGAGCTGCTCATTGGCGCATGAGGGCAAAATGGCCCAACTTTATGGCGCGTTTCCACTACAGCGCGGAGCACGGTTTAAGAGGGCTGTGACGTCAGCGGCCCGTCTTTGGTTGCGTTTCCACTTGGCCTAGTACCGGCCGGCGGGTCCTATTTCACAGTTTTTCTGGCCTCATAAAATCGCGGGTCTAGGGCCAGAGACAACGAGGCTGAGTCGGGCTGAGTATGCTAAACTAGAGAGCATCGCTGGCAAGGGGGCTACAACTACAACAAGATGGACATATTTGACCGTGATTTAATTGTAATACACGTTTCAAAATGATGCCGAAGTAACAACATACTGATACCGGTTAGTAAAAACCATGAATTAATGCTTTGTCAAGTCTGCAGACAGACGGCAGGCGAAAAACCTTTTAAAATGCGTGTTTTCTAAATGGAGATTGGCTAAGCTAACGCAGTATATGCTCCGACCGTCCACACTCACAACAACGGCCAATACAGACATAAATAAACCAGCGACTGTATTCGCCATGACACAGGCAGTCTGTGGTTTGTACTTGTTTAACTTTTGTCTAGTTTCTGAACATATATGAGGAGCTGTGAGCTCTGAGTGCTAACAGCTAACGGCTGTGTTGTTTTTCTGGGGTTCTCATTGAAGATCACGTCACGGCTCCGCCTACACTGCGTTACTATAGATACTACCCCAGTTCCTAAACTGTAATGGAAATGCGCCATAAAGTGAGCCAGTCCTAACGAGGCCCAGCCATACCGAGCGGGGCCGAGCGAGGCCGTGTAGTGGAAACGCGCCATAATGGCGCGTTTCCACTACACGAGAGTGAAACGTCACTTAGAGAGAGCGAAACATCACAGATTACCCATCATGCCTGGCTGTCAGAGCAGAAGTACCCGTATGTGCGCTCGTAGAGCATGCGCAGTTGAGTTGCCCCTTAAGCCCCGCCCCTGAGCTCCCACTCTCAGATGCGCGTTCATAAAGCCGAGGAAAATAACTCAGAATAACGTTATTAGCACATTTTACAACTTGAGGACCGAATGTTTTTAATAAGGGCTATACTAATGTTCATACTGGGTAGTTTATTTAGTTTATTAACGAATATTTTCCTCAGAGTCCGGCGCACTTCCTGGGGGCTTGACCGGAAGTATTAAAATGCTATCTCACTTCCTGGTTTTAGGACTCGTTCCTACACCACTCTATTCATGACTTTTTTTCACTTGGTATCTCACATGCACTGCTCTCTCTGTCCCCCCGCTCTCAGGTGGAGGCGATGAAGGAGCTGGCGGTGGTCTTCAGCGGGCTGGTGGGGCAGCTGGGGGGGATGAAAGAGGAGGCGCTGCAGAGTCTCAGCTCTCTGCAGGACGAACACAACAAGCTTCAGGAGCAGATCAGAGCGGCGCAGGACAAACACCAGGCGGTGAGACACCTTCACTCAGAAGCTCCTGATTTGATTTTAAGATACCGTCCTTTAGATTTTTAGACTTGGATTTATTGTCATTGCACAACGAAATGCAGTTTGCAACCAACCAGAAAAAGCAAAGAACAGAAAAGTGCATGAGATATTTTTGGACAATATACATATAATGTGCCGGGTTTGATATGACTTTTAAGATGCTTTAAAACATAAGAAATCATTGTATACATGCAAACAGACATGCTTACTCATAATAGATGCGAGGATCATTTCCTTTTGTCACCATACATAACAAGTCGTGAGCAAATATATTTTTTGCAAGGCAAGTTTATTTATATAGCTTCTTTCAACACAAGGCCATTCAAAGTGCTTTACAAAATGAAAGACATTAAGAGCATTATCAGGGTCTCTGCGGGGTCTTAAAAAGTATTAAAAGTTGATAAATCAAAATGAAGGCTATTAAAAAGTATTAAAGGGCATTTTCCAAGGTATTACATTTTGCAGCTTGTTTTCAATAAGTATATCAATTGTCCAAAGAGGTTGTATTCTACAGTCTGCCTGAATGTAATCATTGCGTAGGTGTGTAGTGTGATTCTGTGTAGTTTATTTATGGCATCCCGTTGGATCTGACGTCATCTGAACAGGACATCGCACGCTCACTGCTTGATAGCGCGCGAAGGTCCGTTTACGCCGGTTGTTAAACAACATCGTTATGGGGAAATGCAAGTCTGCGTCCAAATGGTTGGAAGATAAGGAGGAAGGACAATCAATACTGTATATAGTAAATGTGAGGTAAAGTGTGTCGCCAATGTAACCGGTTAAAACTCCAAGTGGCAATGAGGTCTTAAAATGTATGGAAAGGGTCTTAAAAAAGGTCTTAAAAGGGATTACATTTGACTTCAGGATTCCTGCATTTACCCTGATTAAGGCGCCGTTTACACGAGGAGAAAACGGCTTGTATCTGCATAGTTTCGCGTGCGTATAGCCCTATTATTTACACGAGGCCGATAGAAACTGACCCCACAAACGATAACGGGTCCCAAGGTGGATAGATTTGCAAACGAAACGCTCTGGGGGGTCAACCGAGTCCGTGTAATCACCTCTATACGAATATTTCCTGAAAAAATCGCGATAGCCCCGCCTCTCCTGCTCACTGCTGTAGCAACTATCAAAAATAGCTGTGTTAATTAAACGCACAAGGGGTTCTTGAATGAAATAATATTATAAAAGGCAAACCAGAATTGTTAACGCCCAATATACTCCTTAAACAAAATAAACAGAGTCAGATTTCATGCATTGATCCATTATATTGACAAAGGAGGATCTCACCCGGTGTTTGTAGAGAATATCTCTCTTTTCTGAGCGCGTCCTCCCCACGGAGACGTGCTTCTTGGTCGGTCGATGCAATATCCACAGATTCGGTTTCTTTCAGTTAACTTCCCCGTTGCATTTATCCATATGCTGAGGAAATTACTATATCCCGCTGAATACCAGCAATCGCCACACACACTTCCTCCTGTCAGTAGCTACTGCTCGTGCTACTGCTACTGACCATGCTACAGATATTAGTGCAAAATCTACAGCTCCTCTACCACAACCATCAGCAACAAGTGGACATGGAGAATTACATGAACTACATGTTGCTAAATCCACCGCGGGGCATAAACAGAAGGGTAGCCATGGCAACATTGCAGCGGGGCTGCTCGGGCTGCTCTTCTTCGCGGCTTTTGGTGTATTGTGGCGGAAGTTACAGCGCCACTTACAGTCCCGGCATATGTACTACAGCGTTTCCAGCGGCCTCGTTTGAACAGACACGTTAAATGAAACGAATGCATGTGAACGGAAGACTTTTTTGAATACGCATACTGTGCATAAACGCAAACGGTCCCGTGTGAGCGGGGCCTAAGAAACATTAAAAACACTCATTTTAAAAGCAAAGATAATAAAACATGAATAACAAAGGTACATGAATTAAAGTCACAGTGCCGTGTGAGATTCACACGTCTGAAATGTTTAGCTCTGACTCTCAATCATTGCTAACTTTTTAGCATATAACTGTAAATAAACAAATGATTTTGCTAACATCACCATGGTCCTGCCTCTCTCAGGGTATGAAGCAGACCATGCAGTTCCTACAGGATCAGCTGGGTCTGATCTCCATGGAGACGCAGAGCGACTTCAGCGGGCTGTACTCGTCCTCCAGCGCTCTGCAGAGACCTCTGACCCTCCTGCAGGACAACATCAGCAGGTGGGACGCACACTAACACCAGGGAGATGCTGTTATTCTACCAGGGTTATTATTCAAAACCACAAAGAACGTGAGCAACTGTTAACACACAAATATATATAAATAAAACAAGATTGTTACCGGTCCTAGGCCTAGGGGAACCTAGGCGCAGCACAAAATTGCCCTCTCCCCACTCTCCCACTCCCAATAAATGGTCAATGACACAGGAAATCAGCTTTTTGAGATTGAATGAACTCAAAAAGAGGTGAGACGACCCCAACATATCAAACAAAAATCGTCTTTACAGAGTTTCCTTAAACTTGCCTAAACAAATAAAATAAAATACAGGCTTCTTGCCTAACTCCTACCAGAAAACGGGAGAAAAAAGGTTCATACAAAAAAGGGTTTCTCACTCTTAAACTAAACAAAGCGTGTCCTCAAGACAGATTAAATTTGCTTAGCTCTACAAGGTTACGAAAATGTACAACGGTCCGGTAAACGGTAACTTTAGCAACACAAAACAACAGACCAGCTCTTCTACACAGAGTTGGGAGTAGGGGGGCTCGATGAGAGAGAGGGGGCAGAGGAACTGCGTGGCTGCAGCTTAAATGCTCCTGTCTCTTCAGGTGGACCAATCAGCTACCACCTGCTCACACACACACACACACACACACACACACACACACACACACACACACGAGGAGGGAAAAATATCCGCAAAGACCCAGGGTTAAAACAAGATTAAAGTAAAAAACAATGATTTTCCTCTTTTTATATCCACTTGTTTGACACCATGTCAAGTGTGTAAATATATAACAAATGTAAAAGAACACATTACTAAGTACTATATGTTAGACTATAACTTGTACCAGGGTTATTATTAAGACCACAAAGAATGTAAGCAGTCAAAAATAACCGTTAACTAAATAATATATATAAATAAAACAAGATTAAACTAAAAAAACAAAACTTATTTTCTCTTTTCATCCACTTGTTCTGCGCTGGCACCATGTAATGTGTGTAAATAAATAGACAAAAATAAAAATTGCTCAGTGCTATATATAATAATACTATAGAGTGGCGAAGTCCCGCCCATCTACTTCCGACCCATGGGACCTTATTTTGGAAAATTATGTATTGAAGTCAATGGGGAGAGAAAGATTATCTTTCGATCCCGTTTGAATTGTGCCACGAATTACACATATGATGTTTGTCAATTTAAAAGATAATTTCCATGTCAAAAAAGTCACAGTTTGTCGTAAAACTGTTGAAATATAAGACTATGAAAAATACGCAACGAGAAAGACTACAAATCCCAGAGTCCCGGTCCCGCATGCTGGCTCTTAGGAACCGACTAACTCCCCTTGTGTGTATGTACAGCTCTCAACATGCCCAGACTTGGAGTGATTTTCACCTCTTTTAATACTTTCCGCCTCGTTCTGAAAGAAAGAAGTGAAATGTGCCAACGTGACGGCCGTCTTGGTGTGTGGTGCGAGACGGGAGATGTAGTTCATTGAGCGGTTTCAAACAAAAAAAGTGTAACTTCACAGTTTTACGACACATTTTTATTTTTTTGACTTGCAAAATTATCTTTTAAATTGACAAACATCATATGTGTAATTCGTGGCTCAATTCAAACGGGATAGAAAGATAATCTTTCTCTCCCCATTGACTTCAATACATACTTTTTCCGAAATAAGGTCCCATGGAGCTCCCCCGGAAAGGGAGGGACTTCGCCTCTCTATAACAAAAATAAAAAGGTGTAAATTAAAAACGTATAAAACAATTTATCTAATATATCATATTCCAATTACTTGTAGACTATTCTGCACTATTTCTATTATATTCTATTTTATTTGTATTGACTTGCACTATTATCTGTTGTATTGTGTTGCACTGTGGGAGGAGCCTGTGACCTCAGATTTTCATCGTCATAACTACACTGTAGCTATGCACACATGACAATAAAAGCCTTGACTCACCTGTTCTGTGTGTCCTGTTCAGCGGCTGCAGTGCGGTGGAGCTCCAGGCCTCGGCTCAGGCGGACCTCCTCTCCTCCGCCTCCTCCTCGCTCTCCTCCGCTCTGCGTCTGAACGCTGAGGAGAAGCACGTGGCGCTGCAGGAGCTGACGGGCTACTGCTCGCACCTCCACGGCTCCGTGTCCGGTACGCCACACATCATTTAGACCTTTTTAAAACAACATCTAAAGTGCACTCAGTTGGCATGGTTACTGATGGCGTCACTTCCTGTCTGCAGGTCTGGTGCAGCGGGACCTCCAGTGGAGCTCCAGAATCGGGGAGCACGCAGAGACGCAAGCCCAGGAACACCTGTCGCTGCTGGGGGAGACTTCCAGTGAAGCGCACGCCCTCCAACAGGTACATGGGTTCTCTTTCACCTTTTTCTGTTTTTATTTGTTAATCGGCAAAAGGTAACGTGTTCGGTGCGGCGGAGATCTCTCTCTCTCTCTCTCTCTCTCTCTCTCTCTCTCTCTCTCTCTCTCTCTCTCTCTCTCTCTCTCTCTCTCTCTCTCTCTCTCTCTCTCTCTCTCTCTCTCTCTCTCGTCTGTGTGGGGGGCGGGGCAGCTCGCTCACAGACTCGCTGCAGCGCCGTGCACACAGAGATCTGCCGATGGAGAACATAGCGTTCAAAAGTGACAATCTAATCTACAGAGCTCGATGTGGTCAATGCTCGTTTGCCATAAGTATTTTCGCGGAAACATCGGCTGGCCAAAAGGCATCATATTCATACGGAGAAATGTTTTCAACTTCCTTAACTCAGAGTTCTGTTGCCCCAAGTACGCGTAAGGTGGGAGAAGTACTCGGGTCAAGTACTTAGCTTGTGAATTTACTCCAGGTGGAACTAAAGTCTGATTTAAGAGTTGATATTTCACATCATTAATCCACATCTGTAAAGTAACTAAAGGTATTAAATACATGTAGTGGAGGAAAAGTACACCATGTACCTCTGAACTGGAGAAGAAGAACAAAGAAGCAAAAGTGGAAATACTTAAGTACCTCAATATAAGTACAGTACTTGAGTAAATCTACTTACTACTGTGCTAGCAGCCCATATTCCACACTATACATAACATTAATCAATGTGAATTCTGTTTCTAGTTTGTTTAGTTTTTCCCCTAAAAAATAACCTATAAAAATACTGTTAAAGAACTGGATCGTGCTTATATAAGCAGTACTTGTTTCAATTAGGCCTCATTATTTCACAGTGGCACAGGATCATCTCCCAATACAAGCACTTTGGTTCATGTTCAATCCATAATAAAATATAAAATTATAGTTGGATCTTTTTGTCTTGTTATTATTAGCAGAGAAAACTAAATACAATTAAGGCGAGACACCCCAGGTGAATAGGGTAATTTTTTTTAACTTAAAGATATCAGCTAGAAATTTCTCCTGTTAATTACTTACAATAAGGCAATTGTTTTTTGTATTACAGGTTTTCTGAAATAGCATGTTTAAATATGCAAATGAGCCATTATCTCATTAAATATGCGCATATTTTAACACAGTTCAGGAACCCAAAATTCGTGTTTCATTTTGTAGTCATATTAGAAACTAAGGCTTTTACAGAAGGGATTTTGGATATCTCTTATCACTCCATAAATCAGAAAATACTGTCAACAGCCCTAAAATATCAATTTTCGCCCTGTTTCTATGTATAAAATGTTATATAATTCAGGCTATGAATGATATATGAACAAACCCTTCTGTAAAAGCCTTCATAATATTGATAGGAATATAACTGAAAGGTTTGGTGTATGCAAGTGCTACTGACGTGGACATTTCGAACTCGGAGTAGGAGAAAAAACTCATTTTGAGAAAACGACCTTTAAAGATCTGTATTGTCAAATTCAATTTTTTTTATTATTGGAAGACACAATATCTAATCTAATACTTACCAACAACAATATAGAACATATAAAACTGAAAACTGAGTAACACAGTATATGACCTGATGAACAAAACCACAGTAACACAAACACACTGCGACCACAGTAACACACACTGCCACCAGAATAACTGCCACCCTAGTTGTATGTCCATCCGTCCTACATAACACAGCCTAGTCCATGCCTGCTCCATAAGTAGGCCCCTCCTGCATCTCCTGCTGATGTCTTTTCACTTTTTTTGCTGTGCTTAGACCAGCCCCGGCGCCAGGATTTCAATTGTGGGTGGGCCAATGTAATTTCGGCTGGGCCTGTTCCAATAGATGTTTCTCGTTAACAAAAATGTAATAAAAATAAATGCCTGCATATCATTGTAGGCAACTGTGTAATGCATATTTCCTATAGTAAAGACACTTTTTCAAAACCCTTCTCTTTTAAACATTTTCACTTATGAGAAGCTTAAATATTATTTAAATGATTAAGTGGCACGCCGCAATGAGTGAAAATAAATGTTATACTGCATGTTATTTAGTTTTGGTTCACAATACATGTATACGTTTAGAAACAAAGAGCATACAACGGCAGAATATGGAATAATGACCGAGCACCTGATGTGTGTCTGTGTGGTTAGACCGCAGCCTGCTGTCCTTTAGCGGATCTAGCGAAGTGAGCGGCCGTGCGTAAAAGGCACTGGTTCTCTGACGCGGCACTTTTCAGAGGCTGCAGATTTATCATTAGGCTACTTCCTTCTGATACTGCAGAGCTTTCATGAGCTGAAGTATACGTTTCATACTAAAGCAGCTGGGCAGCAGATACTGTTGCTTCACACTCATAAGCTTTGCTGATGTGGGCTGGAGAATGCCTGCCGCGTCAGGGTGCGCTCTGGTAGTTGCAAATGGCATGACATTTTAGCTCTACGTTTCTTAATCATTTCCCTAGATATTTAGTCTCAATATGAAATGAGGAATCTCTTGCTTTGCACACGTGACAATTATGTCCGGTAAAACGTTACGTGTTCCCTATTTTTCTCAATGATCTCTCCCTGTCGGCCCTCTGGGTTGAGTAGCTGATGGAGGATGGTTCCATGGTCAGACTTCTCGCACTGTCAGTAGTTTGTATTTCTCTCCATAGCTATTGCATGAGCTGCGCTGCATTCGTGTTTACTGAGAGCATAGTCGATATGTTTCCAGTCCCTGTAACCATGGCGACTGAATGTATCTTCTCCGCCGGCCCCGCCTCTCTCACTAAAATGCCGGCACATTTTACAAAACACACTGTCCTTGCTAATACTATACTCCAAGAATGTGTACTTGTCATACCAGTGGGCAGCGGAGCTCCTTTTCTTTTGTCCGAAAAGTGTCTGAGGGTACTTTATGAGCTTTGGCTGTGTAGCCGCCGGGTCATCTATGGCTGAGAGGTCCGGCCACTGGGATGCTATTTTCTGTTGACCTGCAACGGGTGCTACGTCCCGCAGAGGGACTGAGCTCAGCGGGGCACAACATTAAACACACTCTCGTCTCTCTAAGGCGGCACCTGCTGTGAGGATGACTCTTCTTACTCTTTAAAATGAAAACCTGAACATCGATTGTTGTGACATCGTTAGTGAGTGCGGTATATTTTTTGTGTCTGTCCAGTCCACTGTCCTCCATCTGCGCGCGCCCGCGAGACGTTCTACGATGTGTTTGCTCCCGCGCTTCCACTATGAGTTCGGTCCAAATTCACATTTTACGTTGCCTGATTACATTAATTCATGTTGCTTTTAATTTTCTAAGTTTTTTTTTTAAAGGGAAACACATGTTTGCTCTTATTTCATTATGTAATCGTTAGTTTTGATAATCAAAAATAAAAATGTTGGAAACTATATTTTCGCCCAGTCATTTTTGATCAATGAATGGGTGGGCCCAGTGACAGAGTGGGTGGGCCTAGGCCCAGTAGGCCCACCCATAACGCCGCGGCTGGCTTAGACTCTTGCGCCTATATTTTAAACTGGCAGTTGTAACAGCCTCAGCTTTTGAAATTCTAAGTAAATCATTTTCTCTCATTGCGCTGACAGTAACAGCTGTGCTCTGGAGCCACAACTTACCCATAACAGCCAGCATGGCACAGGCACCTTCATTAAAGGTAGAGATGGCCATACTTGCAGCTGCCTCAACCCTGCTTTTCCCCACAAATACCGTTTTTGGACACCGCGCCCATATCACTGAGTTGAGGCACTCGTTGGCATTTTGAGTACCTCCATGCTGCATTCTCTGTAGCAGGCTGTCACTTGGCATGCGGTGGTACACAGGGATAAGCTTCTGCCCCACCTCTCGCTTTAAAAAGTTTGCAGCATGTAGTTTGTGGCTACCAGGTGTTTCCCAATTATCCTCTGCTTTCCTATACCAACCCCAGGAGGGATTGCACCTGGTGTGTAAGGGGCTGTCATCTGTAGACATGCCATGGAGGAGACCTGCCCATATTTCGGCCTTCATCTGATCAATTGAACCCTGGTTGTTCAGAATGGCCCCCCTGTAATAATTTTGCAAAGTTTTGCATTTCTTTGCAGTCAGCTTCCCTACACCCTTCCCTCCTGACTTTCCCTGTGAACTCAGTTTTCTGAGTGCTGTACCCATTCGCCTGTGGGCATGATTGATGCACTCTCATTTCACCACTTCATGCCCAGGGTATGGATTCAGTGCAACCACCTCCCTAAATGCTGCGCTATCCCCATCTGACAACATCTCAGTGTACCGCACCTGGTGGCGATTCACAGACCTGGCCCACATCCTCTTGGCTGACTCCTGCTCCATTGCCTTACTTGAACCTGCAAAGTTTCTTGCACAATCAATGTGTGTCTGCCGCCAACTGTCATACTCCTCCCCTGTAATCTTTTGCTCTTGCTTGGCATTTCCCTTTAGAGCACAAGCATGGCAATAGGATGATAGGATTTCATAGTCTATCACCAATCCAGTAAGGATGTCAATGCACACACCGATCCCTTAATGGGATGTGAAGCCTCGCTTTTGCCATGTGCCATCAAATGACACGCTGACGTTTATCACTGCATCTGCATCCTCCCTCTGCAACTCTGCAACATCTGGGTCTGCGTAAGCCTGCCTGACCTGCTCCCGTGTCCTGTGAAGTGACTCCAGGCCTCTCTCTATTTCTGCCACTAATTAGACAAACAAATAATTCAACTTGAATGTCCTGATAAGTTATACTCTGTATTCAATAGTTCATGTTTTCTTGGTCTCAATCCTGTTTCTATACCTGTCACTCTCTTGTCATGTCTCAAATCAACCCACTGAGCAGTTCGTTCAGCCGCGCTACATGAATTATCAGCCACTGCTGTGTGGCGCCATCTAAACCCTCCTGCTCTTTGGGTGACAGCTTGCGCATCGACGCACTCGTTGAAGGTATTTCAGGTTCGGGGACATTTGTTTTTTATTGTACCTTGCCTCGTGCAAGTGACAATTGTTGTAGTCTTCTCTTTGTACGTTTATTCCGCGGTTGTTTTGCCATTTTCAGATTTAAATTTTCTGTGAAAAGCTAAACAAAGGAAGTGTCATAGCACACCACGTGACGCATCTGAACGAATCACGTTGTCAGAAATTGACACCAGCCAATAAGATTTCGTTTTTTGGTCAGAAGACCCCTTTGTACTTTCACGATTGGTTGCTGATACAAAGGAAATGACCATATTTGGATCCAATGAGATTGTGCAGGAGAGAAGGAGCTTTCCAACGATACCTCTGATGACATGGTGCAAACAGCGGTCGCTGTACTTTATGTTACGTTAGAATGCTAACTTTTGGTGAATTTAGGAGAAATCTACAGACGCAAATAGACAAACTATAGTCAAATAAACACCTAAATGTATATTTTCAAGATTTTCCTTTCAAAAGCCTGAAAGAAAACATGTTATGGAATCAAAATAGCACAAAATCTCAAAATTGACCAGTGCAGGAAAAACGATGTTTTTGCCTGCCGTGTCTCGCCTTAATTCTACCAATCTGGGTGGGAACCGGGGGCTCGAAAATATTTCCAATTACACAAGGGGGGGCCTGACTGAAAAAGGTTGGGAACCACTGCTTTAAGGGATTACTTCTTCTAACGTGCTCCTTGTCTCCTCTCCTGCAGAGCGTGGAGACTCGCTGTGCGGACCAGCTGCGCTCGGCTCAGGAGGATCTGACGGGTCGGCAGGCGGGGGTGCAGCGGGCTCTGGAGGTGGTGCAGGAGCAGACCTGCAGGGACCGGGACGTCCTGGGCCAGCAGCAGGAGGACCTGAGGGAGGGTGTGGAGACGAGCCAGCAGCTGGTGACCGGCTTCCTGCAGGAGGAGCTGCAGCAGGACGTCCCCACCGGTACTTACATTTCAATCAGGAGAGACAGTTTTGATGTAACAATATATATTTATTGCCGGGAATACACAGATGCATGTAGTGGTGTTTGGCGATTAGACCCCGTTGTGCTGGAATATCATTCGGGAGGGGAAAACCGAACCGAGGAATCCCCCCCTGGGGTCTAGACGCTGGTGGTGGTGGAGGCATGAAGGGATTGATGGAGGTCGGTCTGAAGAGTAGTAGTTTAAGCTTGACCCTGGATTTGGAAGAAAGGAAGGTGGAGGAGGAGGGCTGCGTTGAGTCGTCTGAAATGACAGCTGTGAGGAAGGGGAGAGAGCAGATTTAAAGGTTTAGCAATGCGCTATGATAGGCTTGTGGGAATAGAGCGAAGTGGGAGTGAGAGAGAGTAGTAAACTGGGAATATGTGTATGGATGAGTAAAGACGGTCTTCCTGGTTGAACTTGCGCTAAGCTTTATTAACCTTTCTTTAATTTATTAACCTTTATTAACTTATTTATTTATTTATTAATTTATTAACCTTTATTAACCTTTATTAACCCGGACGCCTTTTTCTGTTTAGAACGTCCTCACATTTTAATACTCAACTTCTGTGTTCAGAACTGACATTAGGGGTTTATTACATGGTCTCTCTGAGTATTAAATACAGTCGTTCAAAGGGACATTTTTAATTAGGGAGTTGTTGATTATGGCTAATATAACTCAACTTAGCTAATACAACTATTTTATTTTATTTATTTTATTTTATTTTATTTATTTTGCGTTTTTTATTATTTTATTCTGTACATACAATAAATACATTAAAATACATTATTATTATAACTTATAATAAAAGTTACATTTTCCAAGATTAAAATTGTACATGTATGAGAAAAACATGTACATGCTTTGAAAATGTAATTTGCACATCTACAAGTAAAGTACTAATCTATAGAAAAATAACTCTGAGATAATGAATTTGTAAAAAGACCTTGGAAATAGTTCAAAGTAAAGCCATTTGTTTGTAGAATGGTGATAAAGTACCAAGTCTCGTGTTTCCATGTCCTTGAACGTGTCACTCACACAGTTGTTCTGCTGTTGCCTTCAGGTGCCACCCCTCAGCGTCGGGAGTTTGTGTATCCCCGGCGGCTGGAGAGGTCGAGGAGCCGCGTGGCGCTGCTGGAGAGCATGAGGCGGCAGCAGGAGGAGCTGCAGGCCGCCATCGAGGAGGAGGAGGAGGACGACGAGGAGGAGAAGCGCAGCCTGGTTGATCACGTACGTTTCATTTTCGGTTTTCTCCTGGGAATTTCTTCACACCCTTCCACAATTTCAATTTAATTCAGACTAAAGTATTAAAAAGCTGTAGGAACCCCCGGGTTGTTATTCATGTTCAATTTAACAGAAAACAATTCTGCATTTCTCAAACCAAATCTATAAAATGGCTGGAGAACTGCTTTTATTTTTAATAATAGAATAAATAAAATAAACTTGTGTTAATTCTGCTGTTCCTCCCCTGCAGGACTCTCTGGAGGATCTGAGCACGTGCAACGAGAGTCTGGCCACCGAGCCGTCCTTCATCGACGAGAACCTAGTCTTCAACGAGAGCAAACGCGTTCCCTTCTTCAAGGTGAGCGCTTTGTTTTTTTATTTTTATTTATTTTTTTAAGAAGAAAAAAATATATATATGTTAATGATTTAGTTTTTGGGAGAAGGGGTGTGATTAAATACTTCTTCCCACCCCTTTTCAGATGTGTAATTAAGTCGATTATTTGTTTATATATAATTTAGAGTCGGTAACGTTTTTGTGTATCAATTTGGCACTGCTTAAGTTTGTATAGTATAATAAGTCCAGGGTTTCCCACACATAGACTTTACTGGTGCGGGCCGCCCAGGTATATTAACGTCCGCCAAAGTATATTTCGAGACCCATTTAAGTTTAATCTTTTTTTATCCGTCCGCGAGCACGATGTCGAATAACTACCCCTCCTGTACCTGTTCGCTGAAGGGTCTGCTTTATGCGCTCCGCGGTAACTCCGCTGCGAGGCTCCGGCCAGCAGTTCATGAGCGTGCTCCACTACAGGGTGTCCACGGGGTCTTAAAAAGTATTAAAAGTTGATAAATCAATTTAGTGAAAATTAAGGCTATTAAAAAGTATTAAACGGCATTTTCCAAGGTATTACATTTTGTAGCTTGTTTTCAATAAGTATATGAATTGTCCAAAGAGGTTGTATTCTACAGTCTGCCTGAATGTAATCATTGCGTAGGTGTGTAGTGTGATTCTGTGTAGTTCATTTATGGCATCCCGTTGGGTTTGAGGTCATCTGAACAGGACATCGCGCGCTCACTGCTTGATAGCGTGCAAAGGTCCGTTTACGCCGGTTGTTAAACAACATCGTTATGGGGAAATGCAAGTCTGCGTCCAAATGGTTGGAAGATCAGGAGGAAGGACAATCAATACTGTATATATAGTAAATGTGAGGTAAAGTGTGTCGCCAATGTAACCGGTTAGAACTCAAAGTGGCGATGAGGTCTTAAAATGTATGGAAAGGGTCTTAAAAAAGGTCTTAAAAGGGATTACATTTGACTTCAGGATTCCTGCATATACCCTGCACTAGCACCCCCCGTTCTCGGCTACCACCACAAGTATATTTCAGATCTGTGGGAAACACTGAATTTTTTTCTGTTATTGTTTTACACATTCAAAAATCAAAACAATAAAAGGGTCTTTTATTTCACAGCACAAGAAAGGCGCTAAGAAGGAAATGAAGATCCCCCTGAAGGAAAAAGTGCCAGAAAACGAATCAACGCCGCAGAAATCCAGACTGCCCCTCCGCTCTCAGAACTAAAACATTTAAAATATATTCTTCTTAATCCATATTATCATCGTCTTTCCTGTGTTGGTTTTATGTTTGTATTTTTGTCTTCTAAATATAAATTTGTTGTTTTAGTAACGTAGTTGTCTCGACATTTCCAAGTAGCTTGTAGAATTAAAGAGATTTTATACTTGTTTTTATACTTTTGTGATTTATTAAAGGTGGGGTATGTAATTCACTTCAGAAACATTATATTCCATGGAATGCTCTTAACATCCCGATAGCAATGAATATATTAAATGCTTTGACAATAAATACAAAAATGTCATCTGTGGAAGCCGTGGCGCTGTAAAAAGCACGACCAATCATCTGAGCCGGCCCGGCTAAAATAATTGGATGGCCTACCTGCCTGTCAGCCTTCCATCTGTGCACAAACTTATCTCGTGCCCTCATTGGTCATGTTCAAGGTTCAAGGTTCTTTATTGTCAAACTAACATAGCTACAGAGTAATTATGTTGTTGAAAATCTTATGTCACAGGCTTCTCCAACAATGCAACATAATAATAATAATAATAATAATACAGATAGTAAAGTAATACAAAAAGAAAAATAGTTCTAAAATAAAGTGAGTATGTGGAATAGTGCAGTACGAGTCTATATACAAGTTATTGGAATGATTTATATTAGATAGTAGATATATATTACTAAGTAGCAGATGAATGTTTTGAGATTGTTTTGAAAATGTGTGCGTTCGTGTGTGTTGGAGGAGGGGCTCTGTAAGGAAGTCTGAAGGAAGGGGCAGATTTGTTCTGGCTGCGTACTTTCAAATTCTACCGCACTCGAGCTGGTTTCTCCGTTCTTACCTTTAATTCCAATAGAGTGTACTAGGGGTAAAGGATTCATCATGTTTGATGAAAATGGAGAACTAGAAATTGCCAAAACGTTTTTGGAAAGGAACAGGATCTTTCCAAATATCTACGTTGCAGGTTCCTCAACAGAGCAATTTACAAGACATAAAATAATAAATGTGAAACACAACAATACAAATAGTGCAAACTTGGTCAGGTTGCTCTCTATGGGGCACCTGTCTAAGAGGTAGCTCTTAAATAGGACAGACATGTTTGTTTCCTTTCTCAGAGTACTGATAAGAATGATGCTGTTCATGGATTCTTAGAGTGAAAGCACTTGAATCATGAATTTATAGTACATACATTAGTGTTTGTGAACAAATTAAACAAACAAAATGCAAAAAGTTAATCAGTGAACCTTTGGTGAGATTTGCTAGGTGTAAATCAAATCAGGTTTTATTTATATAGCACATTTAAAAGCGATTTTTGGTCGAGCCAAAGTGCTGTACATATAATGTAATAGATTGATAGATAGTACTTTATTGATCCCAAATTGGGAAATTGTTACAGCAGCATAAAAGGCATTTTACAATAAAACAAAATATACAAGAATAGAAATAAAAATAAAATATAAATGCAGATATTATATATATATATATTCAAAATATATGGAATATGGAGTATTAAATATGAAACAGATTATGTATGAGTAAAATGTACAACGTGGTTTATTCCAAGAGAAACTATGGAGCAGAGAGTTCTCTTCCAGCCAGAGGTGATTTATTGTACAGAGTTATTGCAGTGGGCAGGAATGTTTTCCAGTATCTGTCCTTGTGGCAGGGGAGCTGCAGCAGTCTGTTGGAGAAGGAGCTGCAGCAGTCTGTTGGAGAAGGAGCTGCAGCAGTCTGTTGGAGAAGGAGCTGCAGCAGTCTGTTGGAGAAGGAGCTCCACTGACTGTCCAGCTGCAGGTGGAGAGGATGGGTGGGGTTATCCATGATGGACAACAGCCTGTTCAGTGTCCTCCTCTCCACCACAGCTTCAAAGGGGTCCAGCTTGATGCCGATGACTGACCCAGCTTTCCTGATCAGTTTATTGATCCTGCTGGTGTCACCGGCTCTGATGCTGCCCCCCCAGCAGACCGCAGCAAAGAAGAGTGCACTAGCCACCACAGACTGATAGAAGATCTCCAGCATCTTGCTGCATACGTTGAAGGATCTCAGCTTCCTCAGAAAATAGAGTCGGCTCATCCCCTTCTTGTACACGGCGTCAGTGTTGATCCTCCAGTTCAGCCCATTGTCTAAGTGCACTCCCAGGTACTTGTAGACCTCCACAACAGCCACATCCTCTCCCAGAATGCACAGGGGCAGAGGAGGAGATGTCCTCTTCCTCCTGAAATCAATGACCATCTCTCTGGTCTTGGCCACATTCAGAAGCAGATGATTTCTTCCAGTCCACTCAACAAAATCACCCACCAGCGCTCTGTACTCCTCCTCCCGTCCATCCCTTATACACCCTACCACTGCAGAGTCATCCGAAAACTTCTGCAGGTGGCATGACTCTGAGTTGTATTGAAAGTCAGAGGTGATATTTCTACACTTTGAACAAAGTTGGGCCAGTTCTCCAAATGTTTAGGACAGGGCTATTCAATTAGTTTGGAAATGGGGCCCGGTTGATGAAAGTGATCCAAAGCAAGGGGCCGGGAAAAAGATGGCTTGAAATATGAGCAATCATATTAAGAGCTTCAGATACAGTAAATACTACAACAGCATAGTGGAGTGCATATATTGTGTTTAATTAAATCAAACAACATAGCCCCAAGGCCTTTAGAGATCTAAATGGCTCAGAACTCAGTAGGCCTACATGTGAAGCTAATTTAACCATCAACATAATTTGATTTAATTTAGGTGAAATGATCTAATCATTCACGCAGAGATGCAATAAATGACAGTTTGTCACTACAGTAGCTAGTAGGTGGGTTCGAAACCCGAGCCCTCAGAAGTAGTCAGGCAATGTCTTCCCCTCTATCTCTCAATTTAACACCCTCTCTGGAATAAAGGCACAAAAGTAGATGACTTTTTAACGTTATACTCAAAGGGCCAGTCAATATCCCCCGGGGCCGGGTTTGGCCCGCGGGCCGCCAATGGAATAGCCCTGGTTTAGGAGATGGAAATTGATTTTTAGAAAAGCACAATCCCCCAACCCTACTCTTTTAAATAAGGAGCCTATACAATGTGTCACTGAGTACAAGTATCTTGGTGTCGTCAGATGGGATGTATGGTCTGAGAAAGTAAATGCTAAGTCTCAACAAAGAATGTTATTTTTACGTAAATCATTGTCTTTTAATGTCGGCAACAGAATGGTTAAGATGTTTTATCATGCTTTTATTGAAAGTGTGCTCTCCTTCGGCATCAGATGCTGGTTCGGCAACGCCACTGAGGCACAGACAAAGTCAGTCCGGAGGGCCATAACATTGTCCAGTAAATTGTCAGGAATCTCATTTTCTAGTGACCTGAGGCACCCTCTTGCCTCTTATTTTGAACTGTTGCCATCTGGGCGGAGATATCGTGCCCCTCTGTTTAAAAATAACAGATCTAGGCTGTCTTTCGTCCCACAAGCCATCAGACTCCTTAATCAATGATGGCTAGGACGCACTGTTTACCCAGCTGGCCTGGCACTCTCCCCCCCCCCCCCCCCCCCCCCCTCTCGCAAATGAGGGCCTAGGCCCCTTGTCATGTCTGCTGATATGTTTTTTTTTATGTCAGTTATTTTTAATCTGTGTCTATGTTGTCAGTGACATATGTTTTATCTTTTTAAATGCCTTGAGATGTGCTGCAACCCATTTTCCCCTCGGGGACAAATAAACTAATACTACTACTACTACAACTACTACTACTACTACTACCTGCGTGTAACTGCCACGGAAAGACTACATAAACACCAAACTGTTTCCCTAAAAAAATGACCTTTTTTCACGTAATGTAAGAATACCAAAGTTGTACTGTTCTGTTTCCCTGCACACTTATATCACATATCAGAGTCAATTATTGTACATTAACAGCACTACATTTATTTTAAAGCTTTACATACCTCCCAGATTAGTACAAAATAGTCACCTCATGATTCAAGTTTACAAATTAAGCTACACAAAGCATATAAAGACATTAAAATGAGCTCCACTTTTATTAGCTGCACAAAAGTACCTCTTATCTCTTATCTTATGTGCATCCACCTCTGTAACACAATGTTGTAATATGTAGTATTCTGAATGGGCTACTAGGCAAACTAGTTTTGGTCCTGGAAAACACTTGGTATGTGACTACACCCTGCATTAGATAATTCAAAAATATTTGGATTGAGTCACACTTTCGGTTCCTAGTTTTTACTGGTGTTACGGAAAATAACGTCCTCCGGTCAAATATGTTCCAGTGTGACCGGAAAGCGACCTACAAAAGAAGTAATTCACCCAACACGATAAATGAAACAAATGTATACTTTGAGTTAAAAATATTAAGGGTCTTTTCTGCTGTTTTTAGCCTATTTGTCACGAGTTTTGTCAACAAATTGTCTTGAAACGAGTGGCTTTTTGCTGATGAAGGAAAATTCGGATCCATCCCGGAAGTGACGTCAGTGTAGCTGTCTAACAGTAATGCCTGTGGATTAAATGTATAATAATATATTATGTTAGCCATAAATAAATGTTGGTGGTGACATAAAAGACAACATATTACATTTAAAAAAACGCTCTCTCAAACGTAAAGATCCTGAATAAGATATTTGATTTAAGTAAAAGTTTAAAAGGAGTAACATCGAAATATACTTAAAGTATGAAAAGTCAAAGAACTCATTCATATCTATAATATTATCTTATTATAATGAATGATACATTAAATACATATTATTCCAAGTAGAAACACACATCGCTGCTAGTAGAGAAAACATATATATTTGTATATAATATGTTTCTACTGAGAATTATTGTGAGTATTGAAATAGTTGTGCATGTTTGTATTTTTACAATATGCTGCTTTATTATAAAACATAAAAAAAGGTCCCTATTATCGAATTTTAATCAGGCACTGTCCAGGACACCTATATTACAATGCATGGGTGGGCCCCTCCCTTCCATTTCCTTCCTTCACTCACTACTCTCTCGCGAAGAAGGGTGCGGATTTACTCGGTGGCTTCTTGGCGGCGAATTGACGACATTCTCGATTAATTTATCTGTTATGAACATCCGCAAAGTCGTGTATTGATCCGTGGACGAAATGGGGAAAGTTTTGGTGTTTTCTCTGCTGGTTTTGGCCTCTCTTCGCTCTGCTTCTACTGAGGAGAAGAAGCCCATCAAGGAAGGCGGTAGCGTGACGCTGGACTTGAGGCCTGCTCCTTCCGATCCGATCACCATCATCCAGTGGAAGTTTGAAGATAGTATTCTGGCAGAATGGGTGAAAGATGTGGTTCCTTTGACCCATAACAGAGACAACATCAAACTGAACATAGTCTCTGGACGTTTATCTATGGAGAAAATGACCAAAGCGGATGCGGGTGTGTATTCAGTGGAGGTTAACAACAACGTGCAAAAAGTGACATACAACGTTTTAGTGATCAACGATGTTCCCAAGCCGGTGATAACGTTCTTCCCGCTGGTATGCAGCGATGAAAGTCACAACTGTACCCTGAAATGTGAAGGGGACACCACCGGGGCTGAACCCGTCACTTACAGCTGGAAGACCGGGGATGGAGAGTGGAAAGAGTCGAGGAAAGCGAAAGTGATCACCAAGAAAGAGCATGGACAAGTGAAGAACTTCACCTGCAAGATGAAGAACCAAGTAAGTGAGGAAGTAAGTGAGCTATTTACAAATAAACTCTACAACAAGAAGGAAGAACCAAAGCCCTCTCCAGTTGGTTGGATTCTTGGAGGCATCTTTTTTGTTGCCCTACTTGTGATTGTGGGGGTGGTTGTGGCATTGAAAAAGAAAATAATTCGCTGTGGGAAGGACCTTGAAAATGGAAATCCAGACATCAAAAATGGACCTGCAGAAGAAGAAGAACGTCTCGATACACCACAGGACAAACCAGACACCAAAAATGGACCCGCAGAACCTCTCAATACACCACATGAGGACAACACTGTCATCAAAGATGGACCTGTAGAAGAAGCAGAACCTCTCAATACACCACATGAGGACAACACTGTCATCAAAGATGGACCTGCAGAAGAAGCAGAACGTCTCAATAGACCACATGAGGACAAACCAGACATCAAACACGCACCTGCAGAAGAAGAAGCCGATACTGAACTGTGAAGCTCTTTTCTCATCTGGCAGATTGCCATACCTGCAGACATGTTGGGAAAACATGTCAATATGTTTTGCTTCATATGTGTTTTTTAGCTGTGCACCCTCGACTGTTACATGCACCAGAAGGATTGTCATACTGTCCAGTGTCCTCTCCAAAATAATCATTTGGTTGTACAGCAGCATGAAAGCATGATTTATATTTAAATATCAAATGCAAATTCACAGCCTGTTGTTAAAAGGGACATGGTCTTATCGATATGAGAGGACTAATGTATGAACTTTAGCAATTAGCCATCTATTTTGATAATCCAATTTGCATTTTTGAGCGTTACTATTTTAGTTATTTGAATGCTACTTCAAAGTTATATTTTACTTTTCCTGATTTTTATTATTATACATGATAATAACTAAGTCGCTTTGGATTTGTGTTAATCGATAATTTCCCTGAAAGTATTTAGTGTTTGGGTGAACGAGTGAAAACATGATTTAGATGTTAATGTGTGTGCATAATGCTGATAAGAGCTTGGTGATATTGCAACAAAGTATCTGGGAGAAAAGATTCTGACACACACAGACACACTCACACACATACAGAGACACACACATAGACACACACATAGACACACACACACACATGAAAAAAAACAAGAGATTATCTGTTTTCACGTTTCTTAAATGTGTGAATTTTATGCTTTTTTTCGTTGTGATCCACGACAATCAACTGGATTTGAGTTAATCGATAATGAATGTAATTGATACTTGCAGCCCTAGGATTTGCATGCTATCATGTTCTCTACAACCACCTTATCTTTTGTCAATCCATCAGGATGTAAGATGACGAAAAAGCACTATTTATCAATTTTTTATTATCCTTAAAGCAGCATTTTCAGCCATTTTGGCAGGAAATAAGTTGATCAATACTAAAAAATAGTATTAAATATTATTTGTCTTGGTAGTAAGGGAAGAGGAATGGATTGAAGTACTCAATGACATCCACTCAGTGTCAAATCATATACATTTCAGTGTGCAGTTCCTAGTATTACTTCTTATATTCCACCATTTCCACATGTTCGTAATAACTTATCGCCCTCCTCCAAAAAGAGACACTCAGCAAAATGTGAGGCTTTTTTTAAATTGAAAACTCAGTGCCATTTAATGACTCTAAGTTCCTTCATGAATAAGGACTTGAGTCCAAGGAGCCGAAGCACTTAAAGAAACACACCTTTGGCACGCCGTCCACTTTTAATTAGACGTTGAACAGGAAGCTTCATTGAATGTACACTTTTTGTAATATACATGTATTTTTTACGAGTACAAATTAGATTACTTTTGATATTTTTATGCACTGTTTTTTCTGCTTTTAAAAAAAATGTTGGGACTTCCACAGACTTCTAGAATTGGCTTGCAAACATGCATTTATCTCCATATTTTTTTTAATTTATTTTAGTTAGCATTTATTAAGTTGTTTGTTTATATTCAGTGCCTTTGTGAATAAACGTGAGTCTTGCTAAACAATCTGTTGTTGTTGTTGTTTATGGAGTGACACATGGGCCCTTTTTCATTTATCTAACTCCCCTCCTCGACTCCTATCCTCGTGTCTGGTGTGTTAGTCCCGTCCACAGGAGATGCGAGCGGAGGAGTCGAGGAGGGGAACAGAGGAGAGAGGAGTCGAGGAGGGGAACCGAGGAGAGAGGAGGGGAAGCAGCAGGCGGTTAGAGAAATTGGAAAGGGCCATGGAAGCTGACCTCTCATATCTGCACTCCACTTTTCATTCCAACACTGCACATATTTTATTTTTAAGATTAATTTGTCATACCTTACATCGTTCTTTGGTATTTTATGTAAATATTGCTCTTTATTTTAACGTTATAATAGTTGTATTTTTAGGTCCTTTTTCTTACAATTTATGTTCTTTCAGAATCAGAAATGTATGTATGTATCAGTAATGTATGTACACATACAAGAAATTTGCTTTGGTGGTGCCAACATAAACAATGTAAGAACATAAGTTGTACGAGTAGGTCAACAATATAAAAAAATGTATTTCTAAGAAACTAGACAAGTATTTAAACCAAATTGAAATATACAATAGAACCTAAACTCATAGGATAATTCATATATGACGATATTTGACTGTTTATGTATACACCATATACACCAGGGGAAATTCCTCCTATATGTTAACCGCTTTAGATATACAGTCTATCTATGTATATATACTATAACACCCCTATAGTACAGTGTTATAGTATTATTAACATAGTAATACTACTATAACACCCCTATAGTACAGTGTTATAGTATTATTAACATAGTAATACTACTATAACACCCCTATAGTACAGTGTCATAGTATTATTAACATAGTAATACTACTATAACACCCCTATAGTACAGTGTTATAGTATTATTAACATAGTAATACTACTAGAACACCCCTATAGTACAGTGTCATAGTATTATTAACATAGTAATAATACTATAACACCCCTGTTGTGTAATACTACTATGTGCAATTCAGTATATACCATAAATGGATGTGCACCTGTATTTCTTTCACCTGCTATATCTCAAAAACTTTTACTGGTATTTGATGTGTGTTTTGTAAATATATGTTGTATATAGACTTGTTGCACTACTTTGCATTTTTGTATTGTATTATATATGTTGCATTGTTGGAGGAGCACAGGTCAGAAGAATCTCATTGCCATTTCTACACTGTAGCTTTGACAACAAAACCTTTGAATCTTGAATCTTAAATAGTAAATAGTGTCATTTTAACATGTATCTTTAATCTTTTTTTGTTGTTGCATACTTCTTAATTAATATCAAGCTATCTTTGTCTCTTTACTTGCTGTCACAAATGTACATTTTCTCCTCTGAGGGACGAATAAAGACGGAATAAAACCGTTTCTGATACTGATTCGACAGCAAGACGAACCCGGAAGTGAGTGCGGATTTCTCTCTTGCTCTCTCACCACTCACACAGGCGCACACACACCCCTTTCTTTACTCTTTGTTAGTGGTGGTGGTGATGCTAACACACAGAGAACCGCCTGGCCGTCCAACCTGGGATGGATTTAGAAGAAGCTTTTCAAGTTGTCGGCGAATTTGGACCCTACCAGCAGCGGGCGGTGGCTGTGCTTGTTCTCACACAGGTTTGTGCATTAAAACAAATATACATTTCTATATGAAAACAAGCAGCTGTGGCGGAAACTGTCCCTGCAACAACAGCGGGTGAAATAGCGCTACGTGGCTTTACAAGGGGGCTTTTTAAACCTTTAAATGTGGACCAACAAAATACCATTTAACTGTGAGATAAATGCAACATGTTAGCAGCTTTGTGCCTGCAGCTGTTGCTTGTAATTGACCAAGCTCACTCTGCAAGATAGAGAACTTCATTTCGAAAAACTGAGATTTTAGTGTTGCATGGTTTATCTGTAAACTTACACAAAAAGCTGCCTTTAACTCAACACTTTTTTTAATATTGACTTGTTATTCTTTAATTCGGCACACAATACAAAGCTTGTTTTTACATACATGTATTGTATTGAACCTCTTTTTTCAACATGACGTACAGATGAGCAACACATCCGGGTACTTTCACACGTAGTCCAAAATGTTTACATATGTTGTAAGAACAAAGCCCAAACTTAGGCCAAAGTTATCACAAAACCCACTTATTACTACATGTTTTTGAAGTAATTGCCCACGTGGTATGTATTGCATGATGCCACCATTACCAAATTGAATCGCCAACTTCCTCACAATGAACTTGTAATTAAAGAAAGTTGACATTAAATTAAAGAAAAATAGGTTATAGCCACTTTAAACATGTCCCGAATTTATTGCAACAAGCCACATATTCAAAAACAACTTAAATACATTTCCCAATCGCACTGTAGTTGGACTTATACCACATTTCATTGTAAATATTGCATTATGCAAATGACGTTTGGCAAAGCTTCCGTTTTGGTTAAGCCAACCCTCCCTCTAGCTAGTGGTTGTTAAATGTCACAATAACAAAAGTTTCCATGATGCTGAATTGAACACAGAAACAATAAAACATTGAATTAAAGACCGGATATTATAGCATTTCTTTAAGAGTGGTTAATTGATAATAAATCACCCAGTTAATAATGCAGTTAGCCAGCATTGTGGTAGATTGTCATTAAGAATAATGGATGTACATTTTCAGAATTCATCCCCCCTCGCTGGTTAACAAGTGGTTCAATCATAGCATCCATTTGTTGCCCATTGCAGCCATTTGTATAGAGCTCTTCTGCGTTATGTACTGTCTTTACAATTACAGACAAACAGACTTAAAGACAGTTTCTTCCCCAGAACAATAATTGCACTAAACTCCAGCACTGACACAATATATATATATATATATATATATATATTTATTTTTTGTATTTTTTTTGTATTGTAGTGATCACTGATTCATACACTGGGGTTACATAATCCAATCATGGAACTACAGGTTGGGGGTATTGTTTCCGCACTGACGCATATGTTGACGGTACCTACTGTGTACCTACTGTGTGTCCTCCCTTTCACTTTCTCTTGCCTTCTCGGGCTGCGACCCGACAGCATGTGCATTTCTGCTGCTCAATAAAGCCAGATTTGTACCTTCATTGCACCGCCTCCGACTCCCTTCTCTCGGCACTACATTGGTGACCCCGACATAAGTCTCGCGAAGGATCCGAGACTGAATCGAACACGGCAAAAAGCGCAGCTTTTCTCGAGATGCCGGGGATTTTTGGAGACCTCCGTGGCTGCCACGTGCGCACGGACTGTGGCTTGGTGCGCCCTCCGGAATGGACGCGGACGACGCTCGCCATTTCCACGGCTTTTCGGCTCTGGGGGACAGCAAGCCTTCCATGGAGCCGATACACGACCGTGCCGGGTTTATTCGGGACATGCGGCTGCATGTCCGGCCAGCGACTAACGGCCGCCGAGAACAGCTAGCCACGACTGCTAACGGCTAGCAGCTGGCAACAGCTAACGACGGCTAGCCACAGCAGCTAGCAGCTATCGACATCCGACTGTTTTTTTTGTTTTTGTTTTTTGTGGTGCCTGAGAGGAGGTTCGATCAAGTCTGGTCGGCCTCGCGTGGATCCTCTCGCTATTTCGCCCACCTGTTTTTGTTCGTGGACAGGACGACCCTTTTTGAGCTTTTTCTGGTGCCTGAGAGGAGGTTCGACCATGGCTGGTCGGCCTCGTGTGGACCCTCTCACTGTTTCACCACCTCGACGGCGGCTTCGGACGTCACACACGCCTGCTTCGGCCCGTGGGTGGCGCGCTTCTGGACCCCGTCTCGCCTCTTCCCTCGCCTCGGCGGTTTCGAACGTCGCCCATGCCTTCATCGGCCCGCGGGTGGCGCGCTTCGGGACCCTGCCTGGCCTCACCTCTAACCGCGGCTCACGGTTCGCCTCGACGGCGCCCCGTCTGGCCTCTCCCCTGTCCACGGCTCCCTCCTCCCGGGGACACGGCTCCTTCCTCCCGAGGACTTCGTGCCCGCCGCCGCTGTGCCTTCGCCAGCGGCCGGGCGGCGCTCCTCCCTGCTGGGGACCTCCGGGTGTTTCACGCCTGTCCCCATGACGCGACCCTGCTTTCTGCGGCCCGCCCCCCACCCTCCGGTGGGGATGCCCTCGCCCTCGTTGGGGCCCCTACCCTCTCCTGCGGGCCCCTTCCGACGGCCCGTTCCTTGGCCCGGCCCTCGCCGGCGGCCCCGCCCTCCTCGGCCCCTGTGGTGCTTCCTCCCGGACGCGAGGATTGTGTCCATGGTTGAATTCTGGGGGGGCTTGTGTAGTGATCACTGATTCATACACTGTGGTTCCATAATCCAATCATGGAACTACAGGTTGGGGGTATTGTTTCCGCACGGACGCATATGTTGACGGTACCTACTGTGTACCTACTGTGGGTGTTTCTCAATCGCGAGTACGCTTGCTTGGTAGCACATGTCTGCCGAGCATCTTGCTTCAGAAGCGAGTCAAGAATACTTCCTGGCATTCGGAAAACAAAGTGTGGAACACGCTAGCAAGTGTGCAGGTGTGCGTCATATGAGAGGCCCCGCCTTACATCTTCCGCCACAGATTTGGGGAAATTGGTCCGTGCGCAAAGCATTGTGGGGATTTTAAGACCGCGAAGTCTACTCATGTGCAGACCAAGCGGCAAACTCTGGGGAAGAGCCGGGACACCAATGCGGAAGTGCCACAAACTGCAGTTCATATATTGGCCGATTGGCGCTGACTGCAGAAAGGAGCAATTTCCATAGAGCCCCATGTTAAAATGCCCAATTTCACAGCCTAAAAAAACATGTTTCTACCTATGGATCCAATAAATATTATTATGAATATAGTTAGATTCCACCTTCATGATTATGGATCTGTGAGTGAATTGTTTTCTAACACGACCCTTTTATTTATATTAGGTCTTAAAGTTTTTGCATAAATTAGGGCGTGGTCACATTGAGTGACAGCTCTGTCAGGTGACTGCTGCTGTTAGCTTTTTGTCTCTCTGCTAGCTGCTCCGTCCGTGAAGCTACAGGGACTCTGCCTGGTCAGTTCATCCAGGGAACACAACTTGATCCCGGCCGTGTTTGTTTGTTCTTCATGCTTATATATCGGACTATTGTGACTCGCTCTGCGGTTAAAACAGACGGTGCATGAATGCCGTTTTGCGGTAAGTGAAATTCGAGTACTTTATTTATGTGTTTATGATTTTAATCAGCTACGTAATGAATGTTAAGGCTTGGGTTAGCGTGTAAGCGAGTGGGAGCTACATCGGTGCTAACGATGCTAATCGTATCCTCCAAGTTAACTTAAAACCATAGACTGTATATATAAAGGTTCAAATGAAATAGACAAGTGTTAAGCGTTAAGTGAGATAGTACTGTAGAACAAAAGGCTTCTGTTTGAGGTTGATAAAATAAGGTCATCCTTGTAACTTAGAGAGATATTTTATTATGTAGGTAGGAACTGTATGCATCGCTAAGGTTCATTTAAATTGGCTATGCTCAAGTATGTAGACAAGCTAACGTCGAAGTAGTGTATGTGAAATCAACCTCACAATAAGATGTGTGTATATTACAATTATTAATGTCATATTTCAAGATGATTACTTAGATATTACAATATGGTTGGTTGAGCTGGAGTTCATTATTGAGCTTACACGTTAACGTCACAGTCATCTGAAGAACGAACCCAAACGTTGTTGTTTTTATTAATTGCATTACCAAATTGGTATCAAATAAACAGTAACACAACAGCATCCAAAGTTACAGTAAAATAAAAAGGACCCTGACTCGGACAATACACAATCCAACATGTTCAACAGAAGATAATCAGTTATATTGTTTGTACACATGGTTCTTTACATATATATCTGTTTGTTTAAAGTTTCCAGGTGATGCAGACAGGCTGGACCAGAGAGTGAGAGACAGAACTGGACTCCTCACAGCAGTGAACTTCAGCACAGGTACAAATACTCTTTTTTCATACTGTACAAAGAATCAAGAAAGATATTGGTTTAAATAAATGAAGTATTGACTTTAATACACTGATATACATTCCATTAAACAATACTAAATACTAGATCACCTACACATCAGTGAAGTTGAGGGTTTTTTCCATGCAAAGGGTTACATTTAGATGTTAACAAGCAATATGACTGTCAGCTTTCTAATTGAAGGTATTGAAGGCAAAGATATTTAACACAGTGACAACTGCTATTTATCTCTCAATATTGTCTGTAAAAAAACGTGGTAAAAGTTATGATTTCAGTGAGACAACAGAGCAAGCTTCTACAGTTGCACTAAGTTTTGATAACAGTTAAATATTATTTTGATAATAAAATACATTTCAATGTTGATGAATTTCATACTGTTCATTCATAATCTGATTGTCTTTGTAGCTCACTGTTGAAATAAAATAAAACATTACAATTACAAAATAATTATATCTACAGCCCCTAAACACACAAGCACACCTCTTTCATAAATAACACACTTGTTCTGCAATAATATGTTTTATGTTTCCTGTAATTTTTGTTAGGAAAGGACATGCCTGAAAGACACGATTCAGCATCTCCTCTTTCTCTGAGGGTCAAGAAGAACATCCAATAAGAAAATTAAAAGCTGATGTTATGAGATGTTAAGACCAGTACAGGACATTCACTAAGAAACTACTTTTATTGTGAAGTCAGCTGATCGAATGCACCTATTTCCACATCTACACTCCATCAGCTGATTATTTCTATTTGCCTCACTTTATGAGCTTCACAACATGTACCTTGTACCGCAGAGTTTGCAACGCAAATAAATGGGGCCAATCTTCAGTCGGATGTGAATGTGTAATCTAACATTTTCAGTAAGAATAATGGACAAAAGGAGTGCAAATACAAATTCAATTTATTGAAATCTGAACCAAAAGTTAATCAAACATGTTTTAAATAAAAAGCACATATGGACAGAAGGTGTAAACCTATTAAATGTATAAGTAAACACATTTAGTCAAATACAGTGACAGACTAGGCCTGATCAGGTGGTATCAGCTATGCATGGGCTCCTCCATCAGGCCTGGTCCTCCTCACAGAGGAAAGACCCTCAGTCCTCTCCAAACCAACAGACTGGACGTCCATCACACGGAGGTTTCTCCCTGAAGTCTCTGCAGCTCTCTGGACACCACGCTGTCTCAATCCGTCCACACTGAATATGAGTGGGGGGAAATGAAAATAATAAATGCTTTAGACAATAAGAAATATAAAGTTGACTGTTGAGTTGCTCAGTTTTTTTAGATTGTCAATACTATTACTGTATAACTAATATCTCAGGTTAAGAGGCACCTTCAAATAAAGATTGGTCTTTAAATACATTTTGTCTTTTGAATTGTTTGTCTAAAGTCAAGGATCTAGAACTGGTACTTATAGTTTTAATGATACAGTCTGGTTATAATGCTGTTTGGAAGAGGCCTCACAGGTAAGAGCACTAACTAGATATCATCACATGCACCTTAGCTTAACTTAAATGTATTAAACGTATAATTAAGTGATAGCAAAATATAAATAACTAATGTCATGCAAACATATTAATATTTGTTTGATTCCAGTGTTGCATTTAGCACATTGCATACAAACGTTAAGGGATTTTAAGATTCTGAAGTATTATGCTAAAAACTCAATAACTTAGATTATTATTTATAGTTTTGCTGAATAGTTTCATGTCCGCTTACCTTAGAAACGTAAAATGTGACGGCAGTGTGCAGATAGGGAAGCATGTTAGCTTAGCTTCTTAGCTTGAGCTAGCTCTGTTACTTCCCAGCTGGAGGCAGCAGGTCCCGCCTCGGCTCCGCCTCTTTGCCCTTATTTGGAGCAGGCTGGAGCAGGCGGGAGTTAGACTCAGACGTCACTGTCGAGCCGTTAGTGGCCGACTCCGCCTACTAAGGGCTTCTCGGCAACTCTGCAGAATCCTATGGGTGACGTCACGGACCCTACGTCCATTTATATATACAGGGTGTTTCTCAATCGCGAGTAAAGCTGCTGCAGAGCCACTATTTCAAGCATACTACGTCATCGAGTGCCGCCGAAGTACTGTTCCAATCTCCAGCATACTTGGAAATCTACCGAGCCCGGCGTACTCCGTTTGGAGAAATATCGAGGCTGCACATGTGTAGACTCCGCGGTCTTAAAATCCCCACAATGCTTTGCGCACGGACCAATTTTCCCAAATCTGTGGCGGAAGATGTAAGGCGGGGCCTCTCATATGACGCACACCTGCACACTTGCTAGTCTGTTCCACTCTTTGTTTTCCGAATGTCAGGAAGTATTCTTGACTCACTTCTGAAGCAAGATGCTCGGCAGACATGTGCTACCAAGCAAGCGTACTCGCGATTGAGAAACACCCGCAGTCTATGGTGCAGACTCGATATTTCTCCAAACGGAGTACGCCGGGCTCGGTAGATTTCCAAGTATACTGGAGATTGGAACAGTACTTCGGCGGCACTCGATGACGTAGTATGCTTGAAATAGTGGCTCTGAAGCAGCTTTACTCGCGATTGAGAAACACCCTGTGTGTCCTCCCTTTCACTTTCTCTTGCCTTCTCGGGCTGCGACCCGACAGCATGTGCATTTCTGCTGCTCAATAAAGCCAGATTTGTACCTTCATTGCACCGCCTCCGACTCCCTTCTCTCGGCACTACAGTATACACATTCAAACCTATTTATTTTTACTTAAAGGTCCCATGTCATGGCCATTTCTACTGATCATAATTCCATTGTTTAGGTCTACTAAAATACATTTATATTGTGCAATTTTCCAAACTTACATTGGTTTCTCATACAGCATCTCTGTATAGTATGTGTATTCACTCTCTGTCCTAAACGGCTTGTTGGAGCTCCTGCCCCCCCCCCTCCCTGTGAGCCCAGTGGCCGTCTGCGAGACACAGCGAAACCGAGCCCGAAACACACACACACACACCCGCAGCCTGGCTGGGAGTTTGTGTGTGTGCCCAGGCTGAGTGCCGCGGTGTCTCGCTGTCTCGCCGACCCCACACCAGTGAGCCAGCTCACAGTGTCCCGGTCATCGCAGCAGCAAGCCTCGCAACGTCCCGCCAAGTGTGTGTGTGTGTGAGGAAGTCCGCGGATTGGTCCAAACGTAACGGCTCTGCGGACGTAACGTAACGGCTCCGCAGATTGGTCCATTTGGACTAATCTGCGGAGCCGTTACGTCACGTCACTATACCCGAAATATGTCACTATACCCAAGAAGTAAACAATGGAAAAAGAGAAATCCCCAACGAGGCGTTCTGGGGCAGCATAGACAGGTCTTTTCTATGTTAGAGTTTTACTCGCTACAGGGTGTACTTTGAGGGTTTGTGACTCTGCAGACCGTTTACATGCAGAAAAAGCTACATAACACACAAGGGGACGGGTAATAACCAGAAAAGCATGACATGGGACCTTTAAACCGATATATTCCTACACTTTAACTTTATCTGCATATTGAAGTATGAATGCTTGTTGTTTGTATGTTGTCTTGTACGAGGATTAGTTCTACTCAACTCATTGTACCTGTTTAATGACAATACAGGATTATATTCTACTCTATTCTACCTGTGTTGTCTCAGGTGTATATGGCCTGTCAGTCCATGCTGATTGTTCTGGTTGGATCTACTCCGGAGCACCACCTCGAGCCTCAGGACGGAGATTCGTCCGGCCTGCAACGCGTCGTCTTCACCGAGGACATCGACTCCATAGTGACCGAGGTGAGAGAGACGGAGATCACAGGCATTATCCATGAAGTACAGAAATAGTTGAATATATATCACTGTATCACAATCAGATAACCTGTCAATCTTTCAGTCTGTGTGTACAGACCGCTTCCCACAATCCCGAATATAATAACAAACATATATCAACATATGTATTTAAAGTCGTTTAAAGTTATCTTTGCTAATTTTCTTGTTTTTTAATGTGTTATCCAAAAGCTATCACAAGTTTTACACTTTTCTATAAACACATTCATTATTGTTGTCAGTGTGTTTTGGTGTTATTTCAGTTTGGCTTTTTTAATCATTCAAACCCACTCATGCTTACCTTTCTGTGTCGCTGTGTGCAGTTTAATTCATTCTGCAAGCACAGATATTAAAAAAAGCATCCATAAAAGATACCAAAGTACCAAACATGCATTATCAGAATCATCCAGAAATAGTTTTAAATGTATCTCCGTCTTTCAGTCAGTTTTTAGTGTTATCATTTTGTATTTTAATGGTATGTTTGTCCACTTAACATGAGTGTTCTTGATAATTATGCATTATTTCCAGTTAAATACTTATTTGCTTAGTTATTGTCTATCGTTTGCTATTTGTACTTAAAAAAAACTGCCTTTGGATTCAAGGTATACAATCAGCCATGTTTGTTTGCGTACTGGATGGAAAATAATTGTTTGTATTTTGAGCAAAACACACAAAAACAGGTCAATAAATACACCTTTTTTCTCGTTTTGTGGCAGTGGTTTCTGGTGAAGCAGCAGGCCTATAAGGTCAGTCTCGCCGGGTCGCTGTTCTTCGCCGGGCTTTTGTTCGGGAACGTTTTCTTCGGGCCTCTCTCCGATAAGATCGGCAGGAGACCTGTTTACCTGACAGGTGGGTGAATATTTATAAAATATTTAATACATTTTATATATTTGGCACCTTTCAAACACAGTGACAAAGTGCTTTCCGAATAAAAACACATTTAAACCATGATAATAATTCATTTAGATTCGATGTATTGATCCCGAATTGTGAAATTGTTTTGTCAAAGCAGTAGCAGCAGATTAACGAGGCATTGTACACAAATTAAAGGTCACCTATTATGCAAAATCCACTTTTTCATGTCTCTTCTACATCAACATGTGTCCCCTCTTCTTCATGTCTCTTCTACATCAACATGTGTCCCCTCTTCTTCATGTCTCTTCTACATCAACATGTGTCCCCTCTTCTTCTCGTCTCTTCTACATAAACATGTGTCCCCTCTTCTTCATGTCTCTTCTACATCAACATGTGTCCCCTCTTCTTCATGTCTCTTCTACATCAACATGTGTCCCCTCTTCTTCATGTCTCTTCTACATCAACATGTGTCCCCTCTTCTTCTCGTCTCTTCTACATCAACATGTGTCCCCTCTTCTTCATGTCTCTTCTACATCAACATGTGTCCCCTCTTCTTCATGTCTCTTCTACATCAACATGTGTCCCCTCTTCTTCTCGTCTCTTCTACATAAACATGTGTCCCCTCTTCTTCATGTCTCTTCTACATCAACATGTGTCCCCTCTTCTTCATGTCTCTTCTACATCAACATGTGTCCCCTCTGTGTAAAGAGACTCTGAAAGTTTCAGGAACAAAGATTCTCTCTCTTTTTGTCCTGATCCATTTCTATAAAAACCTGTCTGAAAATGAGCTGATCAGATTTTGGCCACTTAGTGATGTCATAACGATTTTTTGGCTTGTGTAACCATTAGCCAATCAGCAACCAAGGTAACCCCCCCCCCCCCCCCACCTTATCACCTGAATCTCCTCATAGAGCACCATTGAGTTCTTTGTAACCAAATATCTCTCAGAGGGGCGTGGGGAGGGGCTCCTTATTTTCATCTAAAGTAACAGACAGAGAATCAGCACTTTTGAAACAGGGCTGAAACAGAGGGGATTATGGGTAATGCTGCAATGATCTGTTTGGTGTTTCAGCCAATCAGAGACAGGCTCTGTATATATCTGAGACCTATAATATATTGATGAAAAACAGTATAATAGGGGACCTTTAAAAACAGAATAAAGATATATATATGTGTCGAGGATCTGAATGAACTACAAGCCAGAAACTAAACGCATCATAAAACACAAAGTAAAACAGACAAAATGTAATAAAACAGACTTAAAATCACAGAAAAGCTACAAAAAAAATTGGGTTTATAGAACTATAATTTCACGGGAAGACTAGGGGTAGTAGAGGAATTCCTTTCATGTAAATGTATATCATTTTAATCTCTTTCTCTTCGTCCCAGTTTTGTTTTTCGAGGTGATCTTCGGTTATGTCACGGCCTTCGCTCCGAGCTACGAGGTGTTCGCCGTGTCGCGCCTCCTGGTCGGTTTGATGAATGGCGGCATCGGCCTCGTCTGCTTCGTGCTCACTCAGGAATACGTGGGGAAATCCTACTGGGCCATGACCGGTACGGAAAACACCAAAACAATCCCATCATGCATCACTCTGTCTTTATGAAGTCCTGGTTTTTTTTCACCTGCTAATTAAGTGGATCATTTTTATTTGGATATATGTCAGGTAAAGAGACGATTTTGATCAGGTCTTAGCTTCTGAAACGGGACTATTTGCTGCTTTTCTTCTTAGATATTCATTTAACTTGAATATAGAGCTTATTGATGAAACCATATTGGATTATGACAGGATTTAGTTGTGATTAATCATGTGTACGACGTGGCCATGACATTTAAAAAAAAAGAAAAAGAAACATGACGTTACTAGAGGAAGGAGGTTAAAGTGGTTGATGTATATAATGACAAAATCATTGGAAAATAAAATCCAATATATGAACCAACCTTGCAAAGTTAAGCGATTTTGATTCCTGTAAATTCCTTATTTTTTGTACTAAAAGTCGTGACTTCATAATTCCAGAAAAAAACAAATGCAGGAAATGTATTTATTTTTAATCCCAGGAAAAACTCAAATTATTTTCTCTACATTTTTGACTTTCTCGTTTATTTGCCACTGTAAATGTGACCGTTTTGTCCCCCCCATGGCCCCTCGATGTATTGTCGAGCGTCCTTAGGTTTCTTGAAAGGCGCTATATAAATCCTAGTTATTATTATTATTATTATTATTATTATTATTATTAACCTTGGAAATTCAGAATCGTTTTCTTAGAATATTACCCTGCTATTCTTTTATTTTTTTTATCACCTAGAATGACCCTAGATTCCTAAGAAGTGGGACTGTTCGCTGCTGTTTGCTTTCTTACTTAATATAGAGTTTAGTGATATAATTGTTGATTTTGCCGTGCCGCTGTTACAGTGCAGTCGCTCTAACCACAGAATTATCCTGCTGTTCCCTTTTTTTAATTTCCTCCTCAGGGACGTTGACCAGCATAAGTTTTGCAGTCGGCATCGCCCTGTTCGGAGCACTGGGTTACTTCATCCGGCCGTGGAGGACCCTGGCCATCGTGGCCAACTCCTCCGGGGTCCTCTTCTTCCTGCTGTCCGTGTGAGTAAGACTTCAGAGACTGTTGGGAAAATACTGATTGTACCAACATGAGAGTCCACATGCTAACAAAGGTATCCCAACTGTAGCTGTGAACATGACAGGATGCATGATTACCTAGAAGAGCATCAGGACTGTTTGAGGCATATGATAGCTATGTGATTAACATGATGATTCAGCCTCTATGGAGATAGACATATGACAAGCATGATCATTTCTGACGTGGAGCTAATCTGAAGTAAACATTGAATACTGCTTTCTATTCCTCCATCTTGTGACTGTGTAACTCCCTCTCTTGGATATCAGCATGTGAAGGACACTGTTCAGGAACTAGTTGATGCTCTGTATGTGATGACTACTTCCATTCTGGAGAGGATAATAAATACATGGATCCTGATATTGAAGCTCAAGCCGGGGACGAGTGAGATTTTTCTAACAGAGAGAGAGTTTATGCAGCCACATAAAACCAAAACAAAGACACGTTTGTCCTCTTGTTTAACATTTGTGCTGACAACCCTTGTTTGCTATTTTAGTTCAAGCACACTCTCCACGATAAAGTTATTACATCAGATTTCAAAACAAAAAATATAAAAAATGCTAAGCACTAATTCATGCAAAGGTTTATTTTGATGCTAAATAAAACATTTCTACTGCACAGAAATGAATGGAAACTGGAATGGAAAAAAAAAAAACTCCTAATCTTTGCTAAATGTTGACTTATCTGGTTGTTATAGAAATTATATAGGTTTTTATTGAGAATAAGCCAAATTTAAAAAGACCTTCACGTTTCTATCATGGGTTTTTTTCTTCTATAAGCTGCTGTTGTGAAGTTGTACATATATTAAAACCTTTCTTTCTTCAACTTAACATCCAGAAAGACGTGTTTGTGCAGATCCATTAATCTCTCTCCTCTCTGCAGAAACCTCCCAGAGTCTCCTCGCTGGCTCTTCTCTCAGGGTCAGACCGACCGAGCTGAAGAGGTAAATACACTCCAATAAATCTGATATATGGGTACGTTTTAGTGAATATAAAACGCTAGTGCTGTACGGTGTGTTTGGACCATTGAAGGTAAAACAAAAAGGGAGAGGGATAGTAGACAATACCTTTTTTTTTTTTACGGAAAAGTGGATTATTTTCTGATTAAAGTGTGAAAATGATCGTGAAAATGACAGTCAACAATTTTAGTGTTTTTTTGTTTTGTTGGCAAAGACCCAAATGGCTTCCCTTTGCACTGTCAGATCAGATGATATATGTTATTTTTCCTGGGTTTTTATTACTTTAATTTCAATGGATGTGCCTAGAGATGTCCCGATCCGATCACGTGATCGGGGATCGGAGCCGATCACGTGATTTTCAAAAGATCGGAATCGGGAGAAAAAAATCGGGGATCGGGATTTTTTTATTTATTTTTTTAATTTTTTTTTATAAAATACTTTTATTTTATTTAATGTTACAAAACAAAAATGACCATGTTCACGTCTTAAAGTCATCCTGAGGCCTTAGTTTTGGTTTAAAATTACACAACATCATGTATGTGTTGCTTCTTTTGGGCTTGTTTTCATAGACCTGGTTGCTTATTTCTCTCAAATCTGGCAACAGAGTGGGCGCAGTGTCTAATAGTAGCAGTAAGCTAACAAGAGGCTACGTTCAGCTGGTGCCTCGGGAGTCGGGGCAGAGAAAATGTCAGGAGTTTGGAAGTATTATGAAATTGAAAGCGAAGGCAGTGTAACAGCCAGATGCAATGTTTGCAAGGCGGAGGTTCCGCATGGTGGAAAGAACAGAGCTACGTTCAACACGACCAATCTAATACGCCACCTGAGAAACAAACACCAACAACAACGGCACTGAAATAACCGACACTTTCAGAGACTTTTAAAAGGAAAGAGAAACTGCCCCAGAACAGTGAAAAGGCCCAAAAAATAACAGCCAAGATAGCTGAATTCATCGCGTTGGATGACCAGCCGTTATCTGTTACCTTTTTTTTCTCTTAATGCATTGCATAAAGATCGGATCGGGAAAAATCGGTATCGGCAGATTGTCAAAATCAAATGATCGGAATCGGATCGGGAACAAAAAAAGGTGATCGGGACATCCCTAGATGTGCCTGTTTTCTTCTCATGAATTTACCGATGAGTCAGGAGAGTAATACTTACATAAAAGACTGTTTTCGAGACTGAAGTCGTGAATTTCTGGGAGAAAAATGTCCACTTTTTTTTTCACAAATCACCATTTAAAGGTCCCCTATTATACTGTTTTTCATCAATATATTATAGGTCTCAGATATATAAAAAACATGTCTCTGAAGTGTTTAGTTTGGAGAAATTTCGAGGCTGCACATGTGTAGACTCCGCGGTCTTAAAATCCCCACAATGCTTTGCGCACGGACCAATTTCCCCAAATCTGTGGCGGAAGATGTAAGGCGGGGCCTCTCATATGACGCACACCTGCACACTTGCTCGCCTGTTCCACTCTTCGTTTTCCGAATGCCAGGAAGTATTCTTGCCTCGCTTCTGAAGCAAGACGCTCGGAAGACATGTGCTACCAAGCAAGCGTACTCGACATTGAGAAACACCCTCAGTCTGTTACTTTAGATGAAAATAAGGAGCCACTCCCCACGCCCCTCTGAGAGATATTTGGTTAAAAAGAACACAATGGTGTAGAGCACCATTGTGTTCTTTTTACATTACCTTGGTTGCTGATTGGCTAATGGTTACACAAGCCAACAAATCGTTATGACATCATACAGTGACCAAAATCTGATCAGCTCATTTTCAGACATGTTTTTATGTGACAAGGACCCTTTGCTATGTCGGATCTGATAATAGTTGTTATTTTCCCTTCAAAAGTGAGTTGTTATTACTTCAATGGATTTCCCAGTTTTCTTCTCATGAATTTACAGATGAGGCAGGAGAGTAATACTTACATAAAAGACTATTTTTTTCGAGACTGAAGTCGTGAATTTATTGGAGAAAAACCCAAGATTTGAACAAATGCCACAACTAAGTGCTGTAACCCATGTTGATGTGTTTATAAAAATATAGGCAAGAACGAGAATCTTTTAAACATCTGAAACTCTTTGATAAAGCTGCTGTGATATGTTTCTGTCCGGTCTTTTAAAAGGTGTTGCGCTACATAGCTCTGAGGAACGGAAACCCCTCCAAAAACCTGACACTGCGCCGCGCCGCTAAAGACGGTAACCATGGCAACAGAGGAGCGGGGGTCCTGCAGTTATGGATCCATCCCGTCCTCCGCCTCAGGACCATGGTGCTCATGTATGTCTGGTGAGTGTTCCTCCACCACAGAAGAAGAAAAAAACACATGCATCACGGTGCGGAAACGACTCAAATCAGAGCGGGTTACTCCCACTACTTTAACTCAAATATTACTACTAGCAATACTGCTACTTCGGTCATTTTTCACTTATATCTAGCGTCATTTTATTTACATTCAAAGCTTTAATATAGTTATATAGATCTATATAAGTTAGATCAGATAATGTACCAGCTTTGAGAACACTTTCATGATCAATCATTATAAAACATATCATATATATTATTCTGAAATGGACCAATCTGCACAATGAATACTTTTACTGTCGAGAATACTTTTCTACTTTTACTTGAGGAACATTTTGAATGCAGGACTTCTACTGTAACAGAGTATTCCTACACTCTGGTACTTCTACTTTTACTCAAGTACAAGATCCGAGTACTTTTACTCAAGTACAAGATCTGAGTACTTCTACTTTTACTCAAGTACAAGATCTGAGTCCTTCTACTTTTACTCAAGAACAATATATGAGTACTTCTACTTTTACTCAAGAACAATATATGAGTACTTCTACTTTTACTCAAGAACAATATATGAGTCCTTCTACTTTTACTCAAGAACAATATATGAGTACTTCTACTTTTACTCAAGTACAATATATGAGTCCTTCTACTTTTACTCAAGTACAAGATCTGAGTCCTTCTACTTTTACTCAAGAACAATATCTGAGTACTTCTACTTTTACTCAAGTACAATATATGAGTCCTTCTACTTTTACTCAAGTACAAGATCAGAGTACTTCTACTTTACTCAAGTACAAGATCTCAGTACTTCTACTTTTACTTAAGGACAAGATCTGAGTACTTCTACTTTTACTCAAGTACAAGATATGAGTCCTTCTACTTTTACTCAAGTACAAGATCTCAGTACTTCTACCAAGTGCAACTTAATCTTTATCTGATACTTTGCACACATCCCTTTTATAATCAGAAAGAATACACATTGGGTAAACGAATAAAAAAGCTTCACAGGGTTTAAATATTGATTCAGAAGTAAATGTCAACTTCATGAATAATAATTATTATTATTTGAAACAGCGTCAGTCTGCTGAAGTCATGTTTAACAGCTCTTGCTCACACATTTTTTACGCAGACAGTCATGTTCCCCGGAGCATTTTGGCAACATGTCAACATCTTCACAGCTTGTTTGACAAAGCCCGCTAAAGAGAAGAACATGTTGTGACTCATGCTATAGCTGAGCTTCTTTTGTCTCTACAGTTGAGTTTTTAAAAGTACATCAACCGTGGCAGTTCTGCGTTTGATCCCATAAATGTTGCATATTTTATCCTAAGATGTTTGCTTCTTTGTTTTGTTTTTTAAATGCTAGAAGGAGATTCAGGGTATTTCCAGACTCTGAGAATGAACTTATGGAGTTTCTTTTTCTCTGACTTGATACTTCAGTTGCAGCAGTGCTATGTAACACAGACACACCCATCTTCATGTTTAAATTCTCTGCACCGCCCTGTGGTCCGTTTGCACTCTTACTTCATCACAGCTGCTCAAGATTAACAACCAACTTCTTAACCTCAAATGTTATCTGTTGAACAGTTTGGTTTTATCTTTGGTTTTCTGTTTGGTTAACACGACATCCTCATTGAGCTCTTAAACTCTATTTTTCTTCCTTATTTGACCAAAGTAGTCAAAGTCAAAAGTCAAAGTCAACTTTATTGTCAATCATTCAGTTTGTGTGTACAGACAGAGAGTCTATTCTAAGTACTAATTATTCTGATAGTTCCTCAGATATTCCCACACTTGAAATAGTTGAAGTGTTTTCTGTTTACAGTAAACACATTCGGATGTGCTTCTGGAAACAAGAGAAAGGTCAAAGAGCATCCAAGTTATTACTAAAAACAAATATGATAGAAATAGGAAACAAAACCCCACAGACACATCACTTTTTAAATCTGTGTGTGTGTGTGTGTGTGTGTGTGTGTGTGTGTGTGTGTGTGTGTGTGTGTGTGTGTGTGTGTGTGTGTGTGTGTGTGTGGTGTGTGTGTGTGTGGTGTTGTGTGTGTGTGTGTGTGTGGTGTGTGGTGTGTGTGTGTGTGTGTGTGTGTGTGTGTGTGTGTGTGTGTGGTGTGTGTGTGTGTGTGTGTGTGTGTGTGTGTGTGTGGTGTGTGTGTGTGTGGTGTGTGTGTGGTGTGTGTGTGTGTGTGGTGTGTGTGTGTGTGTGTGTGTGTGTGTGTGTGTGTGTGTGTGTGTGTGTGTTGCAGGTATGCGTGCAGTCTGGTTTATTACGGTCTGACTCTCGGTGCCAGTGAGTCGTCGGGGAATCGTTACGTTAACGTAGCGATGTACGGCCTCGTGGAGCTGCCCGCCTACCCACTTTGCATTTACTTCATCAACAAACACTGGTGAGACACACACACACACAGACACACACACACACACACACAGGTTTCTTTTGCAAAATCCAGCACAAAAGTTTACTTATTTACTTACTTACTAACTTATTTAATCGCTGCAGCTCTCAATGTTAATAAAGCATTGAAACATCATCAGTCTACTTTCCTGCTTGATTCAACTTGCTTTAGCCTTCGTGTCTCTTTAACTTTCTGGATTCATTTTCTCATAATCCGCTCACTATTACACGTATATTTTACCATCGGCGGTGTTCAGTTATTTTTTATCAACTTTCGTCAATCTACTGAGACCTCAGATGGCACAGATCATTTCCTGATGATTTCACAAAGATACGTTGACTCATAGTTGCAGCGCTAAATGTTTTAAGCCGTTTTTATGCAATATCAGTATCTGTGTATAGGCTATTACAGTCTGCTTCCGGCTTTTTTCTACATGCATAATACATAATGGCCCTCAATTATTACCTTTCTGGAGTTCTTATTCATATATTATTCATAAAATGCTGATTTGAACTCTTTATGTTTTATTTTTGCCCACTTTGTTTTCTTGAAGCTAATGTTCGTGCAGGAGTCTTTTAGATCTGAATGTGTCCCCGTGGTTGAGTGCACTGGATGCAAGTTGCTTTGGATAAAAGCTAAATTAAATGTAATGGGGCGAAGCCTGCGAGCTAGTTCAGGCAGTCAACTCGAGCACCAATCATACATTAACACGTGACGCACCTCGTCCCTCTTTCAACCAACCAATCACATTCTCCTAAACATGCCGCTCTATTGAAGCTGCCAGGTCTTCCTGCCTCTGCCTCGCTATGCTGCTGCTGCTGCTGTGTTCACTTGCTATTGCTACGTTCATGTTGCTGCTGCTGTGTTTCATGTTGCTGCTGCTCGCCTGCCCCACCACCCCAGCTTCCACCCCAGCTTCCACCCCAGCTTCCACCCCAGCTTCCACCCGAGCTTCCACCCGAGCTTCCACCCGAGCTTCCACCCGAGCTTTCACCCGAGCTTTCACCCCAGCTTTCACCCCAGCTTCCACCCGAGCTTCCACCCCAGCTTCCACCCCAGCTTCCACCCCAGCTTCCACCCCAGCTTCCACCCCAGCTTCCACCCCAGCTTCCACCCCAGCTTCCACCCCAGCTTCCACACAGCTTCCACCCCCCAGCTTCCACCCCCTGTCCACCAGCCTCCACCCCAGCTTCCACCACAGCTCCACCCCAGCTTCTCCCACCCCAGCCTCCACCCCAAGCTTCCACCCCAGCTTCCACCCCAGCTTCCACCCCAGCTTCCACCCCAGCTTCCACCCCAGCTTCCACCCCAGCTTCCACCCCAGCCTCCACCCCAGCTTCCACCCCAGCTTCCTCCCCAGCTTCCACCCCAGCTTCCACCTGTAGGCTCAGGGGGATAGTTATCTAATCATCACTCAATGTTCTTTGTAAATCTGCGGAGTGATGAGGCCCGAGCCTAGACGCCTAACTCAAACTATATGCTCAGGGGTGCACACAACTTTCTCAGTGAGGTACCTGGAGTCAGTGTTTGGTACTCCAACTTCTGGCTCCCCTCAAATTTCCCATGTAGCCCTCTGTATCGCGGGGGGGGGGGGGGTGGTAGTGGAGTACAGAGCTTCGCGAATGTCAACGGGGGGGGGGGGGGGGGGGGTAGTGGAGTACAGAGCTTCGTGACCGCAGAGCGTGTGAACGTTGTGATCAGCTGTTTTAGCACAGGGCTGCTGTACAGACCGACGTTAACAGCAGCCCTGTCTGTGCACACGGAGACCGACTCTGTCGTCCGGTGATCTAACCGCCTTCTGGAAAAACTTCACAAGTACGTCGGTACGCAAATGCGCTTTGTGACACAAGTGACGGTACGCATTTCAGATTGTTGCCGCGCATGCGTACCAGTTATGTGCACCCCTGTATATGCTGCTTCTAATAAACATATGAAGAAACACGTGAGTTGTCTGACTGAAATGTAGTAATGCTGTGAGATGTCCCGGTGATAAGTGTTTCAGTGTCTTTTCTTCAGGGCGGGGAGGAGGAAGAGCATGGCCAGCTTCCTGGGTCTGGCGGGATGCGCCTGCCTCTGCACGATGTTCGTCCCTGAAAACACAGGTGAGACACTGAGACCTCTTAAACTGAGAGAAACACATCTGAACACAACTGTGGAGGAAGTGTGAGAGGAAAGAAACCCAAGAGCTGGGCAGTCAAAATGTATGTGACTAATACCAGCTGTTATTTTTAGGCTAACAAAGTATGTGAGACTCATTGCTTTGTATTTCTTCTTTAAGATTTAAAATGCACTTGACAGGGAACTGATGATCCTCTGATGGCAAATTAGGAACTCTGTATTTAAACTCTCTTATGTAATTCTTCTGTTTTGCTATTTTTCTGTTCTTCTTATTCCAAATAATCAAGTATTTTAAGGGCCTAGTTTTTTTTAAAGTTTCGTTTTCATCTTTTCTTGATCACATCCTCATATTGGACTCAATAAATGCAAAGCTTCATTCATAATTACATCCCTGAATTTCCACAATAATCCCAATTGCAAAGTTCTGCAGCATCAAAATGGCCAATTTCTTTATAAAGATGTTATCTAAAACAGATGAAGCAACAAGTTAGCTTCGGTTTGATTACATCTGATCAGTGGAATCTGTGTTTGCAGGGACTCTGCTGAGCGTGACGTCGCTGGCGCTTCTGGGAAAACTGATGGTCAGCGCAGCGTTCAACATCGCCTACGTCTACACCTCTGAACTCTACCCGACAGTCATCAGGTGAGCTTACCACGCACACGCACACGCACAAACACACACACACACACACACACACACACACACACACACACACACACACACACACACACACACACACACACACACACACACACACACACACACACACACACACACACACACAATGATATGCTTTTCCTTTAATGACTCTTTTTGTGTGTTTTTCAGGAACGCTGGTTTGGGCGTTTGCTCCATGTCTTGCAGAGTTGGAGGAATTATTGCTCCGTTTGTTCCCTCGATGGTAAGAGTGTGTGTGTGTATGTGTGGAATTGAGTCATCTGTGACCTGCAATAACCTTTTATTGGAGAGCAAAAAGGAACTAAAACAATGTATCTTAGTTACAACAACAGCGTACACTTAGAACAGTGGTCCTCTTTTCAGTTTAGACTACATCACTTTATTCATTTCCACATGTTGTCATCATGCATTAACACTGAGGCTGCATTGCAACTGCATTGAAGTGCATCTTTTTACACATTTTCTGAGAAACATGGTCTTCTACACTCCTTTCTTACAACATCTTTGACTAGGTGTTATAACACATATGTTTTATGAGTTGGCCTGTGGAAGAAAAGTCCTTTTTTACACATAATAAGGGACTTAAGGTGATTCCCTGAGGGGGAATTCAGCAGTTGCAGCAGAACAAAGATATAACAAAGTAAATATTTAAAAGGGAAGTAAACGCACATGAAGAGTAAAAGTAGAAACAGGAACTACAAGAATAGCTAAAGAAATCGTACAAAACCTTTTAAAGCGATACGATTATTTTACTTCAATACATAATTCTTTCAATGGATTCTTATTTTTCTGTCTTGTTCATGTTCATCTATTGATTATAAGTATCTATTGTTTAAGTATTTAAGAATGTAACATGGAAAGTGTGACAGTTATAACAACAAGTGGCCATTGTTTGGATAATAGCAGCCAGTCTAGCACATAAACATGACATATCTCCGTGTGTTCTGAAGCTGAACAAGTGAGAGGTAAACATGACGAGTGCCTCAGACTTTGACCTGATTTTACACATGAATGCCTTCAGGATGCTGAAACATGATCGGCACAATTCAGCTCCTCGAAAGTGGAAAAAGTATGAGATCAGTCATGTTGAAACACCGCCCAAAATGACCAAGCCCCTCTTAATCTCAGTGTTACAGTAGTGTTATCCGGGTTATAACTAGAGAAGAAATGGGCCTTAAAATACATGTATACGTTATGTTTGGACCTACTTTATTGAGTTATGAGTCCAATGATTAATAGAATAACCTATACTCTGCTTTTAAAAATGACTACTTTATCTAACCCAATTTAAATAATGTATATAACATAACATCCATGAGTTGTCCGGCACATCTGCTGAAATAACTATAGTCTTTAAAGTATAAATCTCCCCTGAAACAGAGCGAAACTAAACTGTCATTTGACCTTGGGTGTTGGCAGCCGGTGTAACTTAAACTTTAACATATAGCACCTCCTAGTGGTGATTTGGTAGCAAATATAGCCCCTTTATTAAGAATGTCTATTAATAATATAAATAAGAAATGTAAAAGAAGGGTTAGGTTAAATGCAGGATCATTTTTTAATATTTCAGTCTTTTAAAAGTAGTAAAGTTCAACTTCAGATCAGGAAGTATAATGTTTTTCATCTCACTGGTGGTTTATGAACTGATCTTAAAGTCAAAGCACAGATTAACCTGTGTGTGTGTGTGTGTGTGTGTGTGTGTGTGTGTGTGTGTGTGTGTGTGTGTGTGTGTGTGTGTGTGTGTGTGTGTGTGTGTGTGTGTGTGTGTGTGTGTGGCAGCGTGCTCTCCACACCTCCATGCCCTTCACGGTGTTCTGCCTCAGCGGCTTCTCGGCCGGCTGCCTCGGCCTCCTGCTGCCGGAGACTCTGAACAGACCAGCAGTCGACACTCTGGAGGAGCTGAGCAGCGACGCGCACTGCAGAGTGCTGGAGAGCAAGGTACACACACACATGCACACACACACACTACAAAATGCTGGAGAGCAAGGTACACACACACACACACTCACACTCACACTACAGAATGCTGGAGAGCAAGGTATACACACACACACACAGACACACACACACACACACTCACACTCACACACTACAGAGTGCTGGAGAGCAAGGTATACACATACACTCACACACTACAGAATGCTGGAGAGCAAGGTATACACACACACACAGACACACACACACACACACACACTCGCACACTACAGAATGCTGGAGAGCAAGGTATACACACACACACAGACACACACACACACACACACTCGCACACTACAGAATGCTGGAGAGCAAGGTATACACACACACACAGACACACACACACACACACACTCACACACTACAGAATGCTGGAGAGCAAGGTATACACACACACACAGACACACACACACACACACACTCGCACACTACAGAATGCTGGAGAGCAAGGTATACACACACACACACACACACACACACACACACACTCGCACACTACAGAATGCTGGAGAGCAAGGTATACACACACACACACACACACACACACACACACACACACACACACACATACACGTGCAAGGCACATATTTAACAGAAAGTTGTACTCCATGTTTTCTCCTATCGTTTTTGACATCTCCAATCACAGAAAAGATCTCTGATAGTCAGTTGTGATTGTACGCAGCATCTCTTTGTCATCATTCTCATGAATCGTGTCTCCCTGTCCTCTCCTCTTCCCCTCAGGCTCTTTTGTACGAAGATGACAAACTGAAATCGAACCACAAGTGAGGCCTTCATCACATGATTCCTTATGAAGCTGCTGCACCAGAGAAACGGTGACCTGTCCCTTTTTTTAATTACCTCGAAGGACTGATCACCACGTTATCGTCTCTGAACACACACCGTTAGGGACGTAGAAGCTGCTCTGCCTCCAGGACGAAGGTGTCATCATCTGCTCCTCTTGTGTGTGACTTCACGGAAAAACACAGTAGCAAAACTGCCTTTTTTTATTCTATTTCCTGAAAATGAACAAGGTGTTTGTGCCTTACCTGGAGGTACACAGGGCGACAAAGACACGTATGTGACTTTAATTACATTCCAGAGATGCCAGAGAAGTGGGAAATCCAACTTGCTACTCGCATATTTTTCTAAATAAAGTTTACCGACACGATGCATCCACAAACGCTAAACATTCCCGAAAATACAGTCAGGTTAGATTTATAGGGACCACAATCATTTTTCAGGGGAACGATTCCATCTTTCTCTTGTGTCTCCGTCCTGAACGTCCTAGAGAGTGGAAACACATGTAATGATACACAGACTTTCCAATATTTCATTTTCTTCTGACCTGCTGATTCCCATCTACCTTCTTTCTTAGAACTATGACTGACCAGCATTTATTGTAGCGTTCCTTTTATGGAAGTTTAAATCGAATGAAATTTTATATTTTGACTACTAAATAATAATGTGTCAACCTTTTCTCATTGACTTAAGGAGTTAATGATTTCTGGAAGTCTGATCAGCCAATTGCCTTTACATGCACAAATAAACACAAATATATGTATGTACCTTTTCTTTCGTGAAACATTCAAATCAAATAGAATTTTTTTACGTAATAAAACAGTGACTATTCAATAACAATTTCTCAAAATCTGCACAAACGTACAGGAACTGTCCCATTCAAACTCATCTCCAAACTAAAAAGTGCTCCAGGTTTTTCTTAAAGAGGTCCTGTTATGCTTTCTGGGGCTTCCTCTTTGCTCTAGTGTGTTTCAGTGCATGTAAATGGTCTGCAAAGCCTAAAATGCCAACGTTTCTCTTAAAGGTTAATGCATGACCAAAAAGCTAATAAGAGAGTTTCCACTGCACTAAAGTTGACATAACTCTTCAGTTAGAAATAATAATAACTGCCTAATTTGGTTTGATTTCAGGTTTTTCTGTCGCTTATCGCATTCTTAGTGCATATATTTGATGCGATTGGATAAATAAACACACGTTTGCTGCTCATTTTGAGGTGATATTCTGATGAGCCTTCAATGAGGTTAAATAAGAGTAAAAACACTGGAGAGAAAACATTCACCAGCCTTAAATTGAATGCTTGTAACAAGAAAAATCTTCATTAAACACGACGATAAGTGACGAGCAAAGAGAGTCACATGTAGCGACAGCAAGCAGATGTTTAATATAGTCAAATTTGCTCAATTCCTTATAAGTGTTTGAGCTGTAATTATGCAGCACTACAGACTGAGGGTGAAATGCATTCTGGGGCATTGTGGGACATATTTTGTAAGTCCGACGGGACCAGTTGAATTTACGATGATTCATATTTATTTATTTCCTCTTATGTTTTCTATGTCCGGATTTTCATACCAAGTATTCTGTAATCAGTTAAATTACCCAAACACACATTTCCCTGTAACAGAGGGAAGAAGTTTGCACACCGTTTTTACCACAAAGCAGGAAATACTGTAAAGTGAATGTGGTCATTTCAAATTTAAATCCACTTTTTGTATGTGTTCCTCATAACCTCGTGTGCCTTCCTCTCTTAACTCTAAAGTTAAGATATCAGATGTAGTGTTCAAAATAAATATATGATATAAGATATTGAGATGCCAATTTTGTATTGTGTATGCAATCATATTATTCCGATGTGTGCTATGTATACTGTGTCTCTGGGTACGATCTATGGAAACAGTAAACAGTTGAAAACATCATTATTGGACGTCTCATTTTATTTTTTCGTCCATCTTTCGATCGGGAAATGGAAATGTTTGTGTGTTTTTTATGCTTGTCTGATATTCAAGCCACAGTTGAACACTTGTGAGTCACTCTAAACACGTTGCCCTGATGAGAATAATATCCACTTCTGCCATAAAAACATTATATATATATAGATATTTTCCCAGTTTAATATTGTATCCAGCGTAAGACCTAAAACATGACTACTGAATTCGTTTTTTAGCCACTTTTTATGTGGCTTTAATCATTTTTAACACATTCAATGTCTTGTTAAGTTTGGGATACGTCAAAAATAAGCAACACTGTTTGATGTTGAAACACTTTTCTACCTTTTTGGCTTTTCAAACAAATCTGTAGAATATAAAAACGTCTCTTCTTTCTTAAAACAGTTATGTAAATACTGTATATTGAAATAATTGCCCAACTAAGTGACATTTCTTTTACTCTAGATCATAAAGAACATATTCATTAATTTCAAAAATGTAAATACTTGAAATGCAAGTTGGTTTCTTTTTCTTTAAAGCTGTTCATTTTGTATTAAGTTCTTGTTTTTGTATTAATGTATTTAATATGTACTATTTACTTAACTCAGGATTCAGAGTTTGAAGTTTGAACTCTGACAAACGTTTCCAACTCTAATACTTTTTTCCTACGTGGCCCTAAAGAGGAACTTCAATATTAAAAAGGACGCTGTCATTCTAGCGGTGACACAAAGAGCATGTGAAATGCAGTCTCAGAAAAACACGGAACTGAGAGGTTGAGGCTGAGGTGAAACAGATCCTCTCTCAGTCCTGCACTGAGCTGTGAACATGGAGAAAGTGTTGGTGTTTTCTCTGCTGGTTTTGGCCTCTCTTCGATCTGCTTCTACTGAGGAGAAGTTCATCAAGGAAGGCGGTAGCGTGACGCTGGACTTGAGGCCCGCTCTTTCCGATCCGATCACCATCATCCAGTGGAAGTTTAAAGAGAGTATTCTGGCAGAATGGGTGAAAGATGTGCTTGATTTGACCTATAACAGAGACAACATCAAACTGAACAAAGTCTCTGGAGAGTTAACTATGGAGAAAATGGCCACAGAGGATGCGGGTGTGTATTCAGTGGAGGTTAACAACAACGTGCAAAAAGTGACACACAACGTTTTAGTGATCAAAGATGTTCCCAAGCCGGAGATATGGGTCTCCCCGTTGACATGCAGCGATGAAAGTGACCAATGTAACATGACCTGTGAGGGGGACACCACCGGGGCTGGACCCGTCACTTATAGCTGGAAGACCGGGGATGAAGAGTGGAAAGAGTCGGAGAAAGTCATGAACATCACCAAGAAAGAGCATGGAGACGTGAAGACCTTCACCTGCAAGATGAAGAACCCAGTAAGTGAGAAAGAAAGTGATCCACTTCCAAATAGATTCTTGCCTGAGAGTTCTGGAGTACGATATGAAGCTGTGTTGATCAAAGAAGTGCTGAATCCGGTCGTGTCCTCGTGGGGCTGCTGGAGGCTGGGAGCCGGGCCTTGGACTGAGTGGAGGCAGCTTCATCTGGATGTCCTGCTCAGGGATCCAGAGCAACATGGAGGAGGGTTCTGGTGCAGGATGGAGGTCCCGGACCACCGTGGGGAAGAAAGAGCAGCCCACATGATTCTGTTCCTCCCTGCAGACTCTGGACTCTGAATCAAAGTGTTGGGCGCTGTGATGAGATCCCTGGCTCTCCTCGCCCTGCTGGGGGTCGTGGTGTTCGCGGTGTGGAGGAACAGAGAGACTCTCAGGAAACTGATGTGTCAGAGCAGAGAGAGATTATGAAAATGAAGCTTAAAGAGGGTGTTACTTGTATTTCTTAAACATGATTATAGCACGTCAGCAGCGAATGCAGTCAAATATGAAATAAAATAGTTTCATGTATTACTTTTAAAACAGCTTTGCATATGTTTTTGTTCAATGGTGACAATATCATGTATTAATTAAATTTGTCTTTGTTAAACTTTTGTCCCTTATTAACACACAGGAACTGATGTGTCCGTGTCAGAGCAGAGAGAGGGATTATGAAAATGAAGTTTAAAGAGGGTGCTTGCTTTTATTTTTTAAACATGATTATAGCACGCCAGCAGTGAATGCAGTTAAATATGAAATAAAATAGTTGTATGTATTACTTTTAAAACAGCTTTGCATATGTTTTTGTTCAATGGTGACGATATCATGTATTCATTTATCTTGCATGCAGTGTATTTGGCAATCAAATATGAAATAAAAAAAATCTTTCATTGCTTTTTAAAACTGCTTTGTGTAAGTTCATGTTCACCTTATCACCAAGACTTTTGTTCTTGATGAACCTCCTGAGGCCTGCTCCTTCTGAACAGATCACCATCATCCAGTGGAAGTTTAAAGATATTCTGGCAGAAAGGGTGAAAGATGTGTTTGATTTGACCCATAACAGAGACAACATCTTACTGGACAAAGTCACTGGATGTTTAGCTATGGAGGAAATGACTAAAGCTGAAGAGGGTGTGTATTCAGTGGAGATCAACAACAAGGTCTAAAGTGAGACATTTAAAGCTGTAATGATTAAACATGTTCCCAAGCCGGCAGTGAGGGTCTCTGACATGCAGCCCTGAGTCGAGCAGATATGGGCTGTGGGTTATCTTAGCCATAGGCCTATATATATATATTTTTTTAAAGTACACTTAGATGACAAAAAACGTCCCTTCTTTCATAAAACTGCAATCTTTTACTTCTGAAGAATACATGTAGTCTTCTTAAAAACAGTAAGGAAGTGACGTTGGTCTAATTTTTCGAGAGAAAAAGCAGGAAACCACAAACCTCAGAGGCTGATGCTGCTGTGAAAAACAGATCTTCTTTCCTTCTTGTTTTTTAACATGTACTACTTACATCATATTAGAATTCACGGTTTAAAGTATGAACTCTGAGAATACATATCCAACTTAACCCTCCTGTTGTCTTCGGGTCAAATCTGACCGATTTACTACTTTCATCCATCATAACTTTTTTGTTTTACATTCGATTGCATTAAGGCTTTATGATATCCTTCACAGTAGACATTTGAACATATACAATTGCTGATCACCACTTCCATTGAACTTTGGATGATTTAGTCAACTTTGTAACACCCATGGTGTTCCCGGTCACACACACACACACACACACACACACACACACACACACACACACACACACACACACACACACACACACACACACACACACACACACACACACACACACACACACACACACACACACACACACACACACACACACACACACACACACACACACACACTAGATGTGTTCCCCCCTATGTGCCCATCCCCCCACATGAATCACACCTGGCACACACACAAACACACACACACACACACACACACACACACACACACACACACTAGATAAGTTTCCCCCCCCTTATGTGCCCTATCCCCCCACATGAATCACACCTGGCACACACACACACACACACACACACACACACACACACACACACACACACACACACACAAACACACACAGAACAATTTGATACTTTTCCCGCTCTTATGTGCCCATCCCCCCACATGGATCACACCTGGCACACGCAATACATGTTCAGTGTCTATTCTTTGTATATTTACTGCAGTTGTTCATGTATACCAGTAGTCTGATACAATATGTACAGTTTGAAAGGGTGTTAAATGAAATTTGGTGATGATTAATGTTTTTGGTGTTAATGTAATAGCAGTTAAAACAGGACCGGTCAAATGGAACGCGAACACCAAAGTAAGGGGGGGGGGGGGAAACGAAGACAACAGGAGGGTTAAACATGTCTCTCTCATGCGGCCCTAATCATCTTCTTCTAAAGAATATTGAAATATTCTAAAAAAAGAGAAAGGAAATGCTGTCGGCCTAATTAAGGTGACACAAAAAGCAGAAAGCCACAGAACTGAGAGGCTGATGCTGATTTGAAACAGAAACTCTCTCAGTCCTGAGCTGTGAACATGGGGAAATTGGTCGTGTTTTCTCTGCTGGTTTTGGCCTCTCTTCGCTCTGCTTCTACTGAGGAGAAGTTCATCAAGGAAGGCGGTAGCGTGACGCTGGACTTGAGGAATGCTTCTTCTGAACAGATCACCATCATCCAGTGGAGGTTTCAAGAGAGTATTCTGGCAGAATGGGTGAAAGGTTTGCTTCCTTTGACCCATAACAGAGACAACATCACACTGGATATAGTCTCTGGACGTTTATCTATGGAGAAAATGACCAAAGAGGAAGCGGGTGTGTATTCAGTGGAGGTTAACAACAACGAGCAAAAAGTGACATACAACGTTTTAGTTATCAAAGATGTTCCCAAGCCGGACATATGGATCTCCTCGGTTTCATTCAGCGATGAAAGTGACCAATGTACCCTGAACTGTAAAGGGGACACCACCGGGGTTGGACCCGTCACTTACAGCTGGAAAATCGGGGATGGAGAGTGGAAAGAGTCGAGGAGAGACATGACAATCACTGAGGAAGAGCATGGACATGTGAAGACCTTCACCTGCAAGATGAAGAACCCAGTAAGTGAGAAAGAAAGTTATCCACTTCCAAATATATTCGACGGAGAGATGTCCCTGGAGAGTTCTGGAGTAGGTTATGAAGCTGTATTGATCAAAGATGTTCCCAAGCCGAGCATATGGGTCTCCTCGCTGAGATGCAGCCCTGAAAGTGACCAATGTACCCTGACCTGTGAGGGGAACACCGCCGGGGCTGGACCCGTCACTTACAGCTGGAAAACCGGGGATGGAAATTGGACGGAGTCGGAAAGAGACATGATCGTCATCAAGGGAGAGCATGGACATGTGAAGACCTTCACCTGCAAGATGAAGAACCCAGTAAGTGAGGAAGAAAGTGCAGCCCACATGATTCTGTTCCTCCCTGCAGACTCTGGACTCTGGATCAAAGTGTTGGGCGCTGTGATGAGATCCCTGGCTCTCCTCGCCCTGCTGGGGGTCGTGGTGTTCGCGGTGTGGAGGAACAGAGAGACTCTCAGGAAACTGATGTGTCCGTGTCAGAGCAGAGAGAGTGATTATGAAAATGAAGCTTAAAGAGGGTGCTTGCTTTTATTTCTTAAACATGATTATAGCACGTCAGCAGTGAATGCAGTCAAATATGAAATTAAATAGTTTCATGTATTACTTTGCATATGTTTTTTGTTCAATGGTGACAATATCATGTATTAATTTGTCTTTTTTTATACTTTTGTTCCTTATTAACACACGGGAACTGATGTGTCCGTGTCAGAGAGAGAGAGATTATGAAACTGAAGTTTAAAGAGGTTGTCACTTTTTTTTCAAAATGACTCTGCCATGGTACAAGGCAACAGGCAAACAGGACACACAGACGGAAATATGCAGCCATGCAGAGAAACTGACATATGGAGAGTACCAGTTATTTCTTTAGCATGATTCAAACATGTCAGCCCTCAGAGCAAGAAGAGGGAATGCAGTGTATTTGGCATTCAAATATGAAATAAAAAAAATCTTTCATTGCTTTTTAAAACTGCTTTGCGTGAGTTCATGTTCACCTTATCACCAAGACTTTTGTTCTTGATGACCCTCCTGTTGATTTGACCCATAACAGAGACAACATCTTCTTGGACAAAGTCACTGGATGTTTAACTATGGAGAAAATGACTAAAGATGATGAGGGTGTGTATTCAGTGGAGATCAATAACAAGGTCTAAAGTGAGCAGTGGCGAGCCGTCAGGGCCCTCTAGGCCCTCTGTGAGGGCCTAAGATATTCTAAAAAATAATATTTAAAAACATTTAAAAAATATATATTTTTTTTAAATATATATTTTTTTAATATTATTTTTGTTATATTTTTCATTAGTTTTACCAAAATAACTTGATTTAATTGTATTTAAAATAACATTTCCAAAGAAATAAATCCTTCGAATCTGCCTGTTCAGTCTCTGTTGAATGTGAAGGGTTACATGAAAGAAGCTCGTCTGGCCCTCTCTGCGATTCACAGAGGGCCCGCTATAGTAACTGAACGAGAGAGTAATGTCAAATGACAGTACAATTGACCAATCATATCTTCCCTCTAAATGGGTGGGTTTTATTATCGCGGACTTTATGACAAGTTCCGCCCGCTGTGAAACTTTTCTTGTTTCTATAGCAACAACAACTTCCTGTCAACAGCGTGAACTCGCCTTCAAAATAAAAGCATGCCAAATTACACTTAAGAAATACAACTGCAACGAAAGTAACAAACACAATGCAATATCATTTTCAATGTCAAAGAACACAAATTGGGTTCACAGGTGTTGTTTTGTGTGGTAGAGGGTCGCTGTCATTAATGCGTTTTGCACCCTGGGCCGTTGTTTTGATATTCCACTGAAGTATACGCTGTGATGTAATAACTATTTTTTTTCTTTTTTTCGAGGGAATTGGTGGGGGTCAGAGGGCCTAGGTATAAAGCTCACGGCTCGCCACTGAAAGTGAGACATTTAAAGCTGAAATGATTAAACATGTTCCCAAGCCGGCAGTGAGGGTCTCCGCTGACATGCAGTCCTGAGTCGAGCAGGTGTGGGCTGTGGGTTATCTTAGCCATATATATATATTTTTTAAAGTACACTCAGAAGACAAAAACGCCCCTTCTTTCTTAAAACTGCTATCTTTTACTTCTAAAGAATTAAGGTAGTCTGGTAAAAAAGAGAAAGGAAGTGACGTCGGTCTAGTTTCGTGACAGATAAAGCGGAAAACCACAAACCTCAGAGGCTGATGCTGCTGTGAGAAACAGATCTTCTTTCCATTTTGTTTTTTAACATGTACTAGCCTATATACTTAATTTAGAACTCACGGTGTAAAATATGAACTCTGGGAATACAATTCCAACACAAAAACGTATTTCTCATGATGAGAATCATCTTCTTCAAAAGAGGGAGTTCAATATTCTAAAAAAGAGAAAGGAAATGCTGTCAGGTGACACAAAAAGCAGAAAGCCACAGAACTGAGAGGCTGATGCTGGTGTGAAACAGATCTTCTTTCCGCCCTGCACTGAGCTGTGAACATGGGGGAAGTGGTCGTGTTTTCTCTGCTGTTGGCGGATCTGAGCGTTGCTTTTACTCAACAAACACCTACATACTTCACACAGGGCGGCAGTCTGACGCTAGACCTGAGGTCTCCTCCTTCTGAACGAATCACCAACATCCTGTGGCAGTTTAACCGCAATCACCTTCGAAACATCTCAAGACTCCGGCCCTCTCTCCCTGACCCCGTTGCAGAAACATTCATTCATACCTTCATCTCCTCTCGCCTGGACTACTGCAATGGAGTTCTGTTCGGGGTCACCAGCAAAGCCCTGGACAGGCTCCAGGCTCCTCACCTGCACTAAGCCCTGGCAACACATTACCCCCACCCTCATCCACCTTCACTGGCTCCCGGTCAAGTCACGCATCCAGTACAAACTCCTCCTGCTAACCTACAAATCTCTCCACTCCCTAGCCCCTGCATACATCTCTGACCTCCTTCAGCCCTACACCCCCTCTCGTCAGTCCCTGCTAGAGAGATGGTGTGGAGGAAACTTCTGTGTAGTAATGCATGGAGTCACCGACTCAGGAAGGAGACACGGTGAGAGTTGGAGCTTTGATGTCAAACACTGATGGGTTTATTCAGAGTATTCGGCCGGAGGATTCACATCACAAATCAAAGAGTCAGAGGTTCTGACCACACGGTAGAGTTGCCACGTCAATTCTGAAGAACCTCTCTCTATGCTAGACCTTTTAACAGGTTCACAGAGAATCAACATCTCTGAAGGAGTAGACTAAACACTGAATCATCTGCGTCCAACGCTCATGGCCTCAAGGATTTCACATCCGAGAGCCCACAAACACCGATAAAGAAATGCTTCAGTGTTCTCACAACAATTACCCTACGTGCCAGTCAAGTTGACCGGTCTCACACTGGTGACAACAACACATATGGCACCAAGGCCTTTCCTTAGAGGAGATAACATATGTCAGAGTAAAAGGTTAGATATCTAGAAGAATTATTCCTTAACAGTTCCTCTCTTTTTATCATTTTTGATAACCTTAAAACATTAGTCTAATAATTCTGGTCAATACTTAAATCAATAGGCGTCTTCAGATTCGAGTGTGGTCTCACCTTACATTCAATTACATCACAAAGTAGAGTAAGATTGAAACATTCAATCACAATGATTGATACAGGCAATCATAATAGGAAAAATTATCTCTCATCAGTGTTTGGAGCATCTTTTGTCAAAAGCATAATAATGAACACACATAAAACACAGATACATAATAGCAAAATATTTGTTTTAAACTAATATCTTTTATCATTTAAACCATTAGTTAATGTCATTTATCAAACTATAAAATCAAAACCAGAAACAGCTTAAAGATTTGCTTTAAGGCAATCACTAGTCAAAAGCATTTAAAACTTAGGATCATAAGAGATCCAGCTAAGGCATAACATTCACAGTGGTGATTTGATCAATCTGTAATCGGCAAAGTTGCAGTGTCCTCAATTTTTGGATTACTTTACGTTTACTTCATTATGCTTTAGTCAAGAGTAAGGCACTTAGTCTTAGAAAAAATCAATACATTCATTTTAATCAAATACAGTGTTCAAAATCTGAAAAGGAAAAATCAGATATTTGTCGTGTAGTGTAACAACCTGAAAGGGAAAAATTAAACATTCTTAAAACTTTAATTCATACATTTGTAAATACTACAACTGATCTGTACCAAATTAAGTCTATCAATTATTCTTATTAGCCATACTTACCTGAACATCTACTTATGGTACTTGGAAAGGGTTCTTTAAATTATACTTCTCTAATTTGAGGATCAAATATGCTACATAATTGTTATATTAATTATTATAAATATTTGTTTTGGGCCAAAACTGAAATTAATCTAGTACTTGAAACATCATTTTATGTCTGTCTGTGCATGGGTAATACATTAAAGAGTAGTGTTGTTAAGCCTGAGTGCTGGATGATTAAGGATATTAACATTATCTGTTATAATATTAGAAATACCTTATTCTTCAATACCTTATAATCTGAGAATATTTATTTATTAATTTTGTTTAGTGTGAAAATCTAATCTGATCTGACTAAATATATTTATCACCACTATTTAACACATGTCTGGTCATTGGAAATATAAAAAACAATCATTAATTGTACATCTTTAAACATCTGGTCATTCAATTCAAAGTTCATCTTTGTACAAGAGCTGGAAGAACATGTCCGTCAGGCTTCCTGACTCGTTCTCCTCCTCCCTTTATGACACCGAGTGTCTGGTGTGTAAAGGCATCCTGATACTGTAGATTAGCACTGAGGTGCTGATTGGCTCAAACTCTTCTTCATCAGAGCGCCATATTTCAACCCCCAATTGCTCTGCTTTTGTGTGGCTCATTCAGTGAGCACTGTAGCTGACCCCCCAGTGAGACGGAGGCTCATCTGCCGGTATTCCTTCTGCTATCTGCTTGAGAGCAACTGCGTATTCCTGATGCATCCAGGTGTCCCCCCCGTGATGGGAGAGGTTAGGAAGACATCAAACTCCTCCAAGAAACATGGAACATTGTATTATAGAAGCCTCTGAAACCCTCGCTCGTCCTGCAGGGTTGTCTGCTAGAGCCCACCGAGCAGAAAGATGAAGAGAAGAACCCCCTCTTATCAGAAAGGTGAAGAGAAGCATCCCATCTTATCAGAAAGGTGAAGAGAAGCATCCCATCTTATCAGAAAGGTGAAGAGAAGCATCCCATCTCGAACGGCCTCGTGCTTCCTTGCACGTGGCTGGGGGTGCTCTCTGCACCCGGAGAGTGTGACCCTCTCTCTCTGACCCTTGGCCTTGAGAGCTGTCCTAGTTATTGGGTTAACACCTGATAGGGATGGTTTTCTGAGTGAAGACAACTCAAAGTAATGGATTAGCACATTATCATTTAATTACAAAAATAGGATAGGCCCCTCAGAATTATTTGGGAGCCTTCCTGACACATGCACATTATCATTTTGAAGGTTTGTGTTAGCCATTTAACATGCAAGAATCATATACTCATCAGTCCTTAGCAGAGAAATGTTATTGTAAGTTAAAGGTGAGCTAGTCCCTGTGGATATAACCCCTTCTCAATGATTCTAAATGTATATTAATTCACCATTTACCTTTTGATAAAATATTAGTTTATCAGAAATATTTAGTCTCTTCCATAAAACATAGGTTTGAGAAATAAATTACCCAATATAAAATCAATTACTCAATATAATTGACTCTTCCCTCCCTTTTCTTACATATGGTACATATGAAATAATAACTTAGGAGTCTATTTAAGCATGGTATAGTTTATAATCTATTAATCGAGAAGACTCAGTATCACCTGTGTGCAGCTTACAAAAAGCCATTGTGATAAACA